AAAAAAGATAAAACAATGTTTAGACATCTTGAACTACATGTATTCTTATCATTTTCTATCGTAAGGGGGTCACGGTAGCCAAGTGAGTAAGACGCTGGCTCGCTAGTCTGGAGATCGGGTGTTCGATCACTAATTAACATATGGTTCAATTTTAATAATTCGCTTGCACGTAGGGTTCTTTAGCAGCGGGAAGAAACTGGAGAACCTGGAGAAAACCCAAGCGGTTGGATCGGCCCTGCTTCTTGTCACGTACAATTGGGGAATCGAAACCATGCCAGTTGACTCAATGAAAGTTTTTTTTATGAACTGTTTATACGTTACAGTTGTGTATGGACAATAGATTTCATTGTTACAGTATTCACAGATTCTACAGTGATCAAGGAAACTCGATAATACGTTTGTAAATAATAATTTTTAAACAAACGACTACTTACTCGGCATTAACTTTTGTTTTCTTTTTAATATCTATATCTTTACACCAGTATTTAGTTAAGTTGTTTAATATCATACTAACAATTAAAGCAATTGCCATTGGATCATCTGTTCTCTTCCATATAACTTTAGCTAATTTTTGACGATTTGTTAATGTAGCCCATAATAATAAAGTATTTATAGCCTGAAATACGACAAATGTATCCGAATTTGATCAAACTTACAGATGTATATCCTCAAAATCCTACATAAAACTTCAATGGAAAATATATTCAAACCAAGGAGAAAAATGTATTTATTTCTAAAAAAACAATAGCCTGAAATGCGACAAATGTATCCAAATTTGATTAAATTTACAGATATATAAACACAAAATCCGAGGGCATACTACATAACACTTCATTGGATATTTTATAGAGATATTATATATATTGAAAATTACTTTATTCTGAGCACAGTTATGAATGTTTGAAGTTTTGACAAGAAATAGTCTAAATAGTCTTGATCATCAAGTACTATAGATATTATAGAGAGAGTTTCCCCAATGTAATCCCCCAAACTCCACTTACCCTCCGTTCTGCAACTTCTTTATTCGAGATATAATCCCCTAATGAATTCATAGATAACTCATAGGGACTGACTAGTTTTTGTAGACGGGTACATCTATATAATAAATGATTCAGTTCACAGATATCGTCTTCTACAAACTTTTTATCCAATATCGTAGTTGTATTAGTGTTCTGAATTGTAAAAACATTCAATGTACATCAATAATCATTCTATAATAAAACCTGCCAATAATGAAGCTGATGCCCCCGCTGAAATCCCAAATAAATAGATGACCAATGTTTCTTAAATGCACATTTATCTTTTCCATAAAATGTTCACGATCAAACTCAGGTTTTGAAGTACCTGGTAGTGAAACTATATACTATTTTTCATCACTCTCCATCAGTTAGAATCAAAGTTATTTTGTCCCAAAGCATCGACCAATGAAATTGCTTAGCTTTAGATGTAAATGTTTATCATTTGAACTCACCTAATGAACATCAAGTATAAACATTCTACCTCAATTAAAAGCAGAGTTGTTATGTTCCAAGGTCTTGACCAATCAAATTACTTATCGCTAATTAGCCTAAGCAGAAAATTCTCATCATTGAACTTAGTCAAGGTATTGATATAACAAATCTATACTCTTGAGTTTTGTCGCTCACCCAATTAGAACCAAAGTTATCATGTTCCATGGTCTCAACCAATCAAATTGCTTATGTCTGCTTACCCTAATCAGTTATAGTTTCATCGCTCGTCATGTTTGATTGACAACTGATTTTATGTCGTAACTTAGAGTAATTAATTGCGATTCAAAACAGTTTTGAAACTCTGGTTTGTAGATAAAATGAAATTTGAACAGACAGACAACCGGTTTGGTGACCATTGTTTTGATACCTACCACAGTTTTACTGAGAACACCTTCTAAACATATACCAATAAAGAATTCTCTATCCTGACAATTTTCAAACAGATGATGCAGACGTTTATGGTTTAAAAATCTGTGAACCAGAAATCCTTTCTCCAAAAATAATTCTACAAATTCTTCTCGACCGTGTCTTTGTAACGCTTGATGAAATATGTAATCTTCAACCTGCAACAGAATGTATAGAAAATGTACCAATCTTCTATCTAAATATCCAATGTATAACACTTTAATTTGATTAACAAGGTGCCAGTTTTAGAACTTTTACAATATTTCATCTCAAATCCTACTGATAATAGCTTTCTATGCCGAATCAGTCATTCTGATTAAAACACAGATCCTATTTCGTTTCGTTTTTTATAGTTCAAAATTTTGTTTTACTTGTCTTTACTTCACTAGGATTTGGAAGAATTGCTATATAATCCGTTTTCTAAATATTGTGGGGGAATAGCCAATGAAACGGTGCACGGAACTTTGGGAAAACCACTAGAAACATCAAAGCTGATTGGTAAATCAAATGTCTGACGTCGCAGGGTCAAAAGCCGCTTGTATGACCTCTGACACGACCTTCCACTACAACCGGCCAGATCTTTATGTAGTGTAGGCCATCAAAAGTATTAAAAAAAAATGAAACGAAATATAGATCTGTATTTTAATCCGACTGGAAGTCTCAACTAAAATAAGAGGATCGATGATATATCTACCTTAATCTTTCTGTGATTGAATTTTTGAAATATTTTAGATTTGGCTAAATCACAACGATTCCAATCCAGGGTCAACTGGAGGTCACGCTGTATCTGTTCTCTTAAATGAGGACCACCTCGATGGGGCTGAGCTATAAACAAAGCATTAAAATTTCATTTTTTAAAGATTCTGAAACAGAAATGGAGAATGGCCAATGTGAGACCTCTCTCCCTAGATAAAATCAGTTACTTAATACAAACGGGAGCCACGGTGGCTAACTGAGTAAGGCTGGAGGCCCTAGGTCAGATCCTTTGGATTTTCCTTTGTCCGTGGTGCAGGACATAGAGAGAGAGAGAGAGAGAAAAATGGGGTTTAAAGTCCAATCAACACTAACTAGGTCATTTTGAGACTAACATATGGTTCGATTTTATTTCAATCATTCGCTTGCGTGTGGGGGTCTTTAGCAGTGGGAGGAAACCGGAGGACCCAGAGAAAACCCACCCTTGACAGTTGGAATTAATAGTAAGAGTAGGCTGTAGCACCGCTTTCCAGACAAAATTTCTCTCATAGAACACTGCATGGTATAGCATGCTGGTCTTCATCATCCATTTCATTTCATAAAACATGAATATATATAGACATATATGGGCAATATAAAAACGTTAAGCAGTAACTTTAAAGCCACTGTCAGCAAATATGTAGAACTTTATTTTAACAAAGTAAGTATTGCATCTTGTGTATAAATATATATATATATATATAACTGTCAGGAGGGCAACACATTCCTTTTTACCACACATATAGTTATGAAATTCTTATTCTTAAATCGCAAGAAGAATCTCTTGCATCTGGAAGTTAGGGGCAATGGCTTTAAGAGGAAGTTGAAATGACTAATTTTTACAACTGGTTACAGATTCTACTGGATAAATTACTTACATTTAAACAAGGCATTGAGGATGTATTTACTGAGATTTCCTAAATCAGCGCCAGCACTAGGATCAATTATAGTTAAATATGTCTGTTCTCCCTGTAAATATCATGTTAATATTTTAATGCATGTTGGATATTTTCTGGAAGTTTATTCCAAACAATTGATGCGCTGTATCGAAAAGTTCTAGATCCAAATGATTTCAAATTATAGGCAGGTACATCCAATAATAGTTTCCCTTCTGATCTTAATATTCGTTTAGGTTGATACAGTGATACTAGATTTTGAAGGTAAGCTGGACCAGGAACCATACATAACGCTGTCATCTTGGATGTGTGACTTCATATCAAAAATCTAAACCTGTCAATCAATGTGGAATTGTTGAGGAACCAGCATGCCAAGTTTCATTTTGACTGCACTTGAATTGGGCTTTTCTCAAAGAGTGTCGCCTCCAAAAAGGATCAACAACAATAAGAGCAGGGGTTGGGGATCTCTTTGACTGGTCCAAAAATCTGATTGTTTATATCAAAAACTGCAGGCGAGGACTGAGTTTTAAATTCAACAACAAATGAATGCAATAAACTACGCAACTTACCTGATGTGCAAACTGAATACATTCTAATATTCGATCTCTACATTGATTTCTCGCTAAATCATTGTTTTTAAAATCATTTGGAAAACTTGACATAACTTTTTTCATCAATTCTGGTTTTAAGTAACTTTCAAAATGTTCTTTGTCTGATCTGTGGAAAAAGAGAGACACATTACACAATACAAGTGGTCACCATGCAAGATACACCCATAAAAAACGATTTTTCGTACGATAAGGGGGCATAATCCTGAGTGTTAGGGTCTGACATGCAACAATATCAATAGGAACCAAGACCATTGGGATATAAACCTATATATTCTAAGTTTCATCAAAATTGGATAAAATTTTGGACCTCTCGAGGATCCACAAGCGAAAGTGATAAATCCTAATGCAAGTTATGTCCATCTAAACCAACGAATAACTTGCAATTGATTTTTTAGTGAGTTTAACACTAAGAAACGTTTCGACAAGGATACTCTCATTTGCTTGATAAAGACGAGAGTATCCTCATCGTAAACTTGTCTGCGATATCACCTCGGTGGAAGCGGACGTAAAATACAACTAACTAACAACAACAACTCATCGTAAAATGTCGCTTAGTATTAAACTCAGTAATTGTGTATCCATAAAATTGTACCTTGTGTCAAGTTGAATATATTTAAATACCTTTCTTGATGTTCTTCATAAGCAAAAGCTACAAGATCAGCAGCTAAACCTGAGCCTTTTAATAAAATAATTGGAATTCTCTTTTTTAATAACCATAAACAATGATCTATATCTGGTGGTCCACCTTGTATTAATAATCCTATCACTGGTGTACTAGATTCCTCATTATAATCTCTATCTGTTATATCATTTACTTCCGGGTCACTTCCAGCTAAAATATACAATTATAATATCAATATCTGATCAAATATTACTGCCGGGTCACTTCCAGCTAAAATATACAATTATAATATCTATATCTGATAAAAACAAATAATGTGCTGATAAACAAAAATACAATATCATAATTAGCTCAAATACAACATCATCATAATTAGCTAAACTATAATATCATGATCATAATTAATGATAATATCTAATAAATTGTTAAAATATAATACCATAATTACTAAATCAGCTAAAACACAATATCATCAGAATTAGATAAAATGCAAAGTCATAATTTGCTAAAATACAACATCACCATACTCGGTTAAAATACATTCATCGGTTAAAATATGTAATATCATATCTCCCCAAATATTATTGAAACATTTCATTTCTAAACATGACGAATAAAGAATGCTACTGTCACCAGGTAACAAAACATACACTCACTACCTCTGAATGGGATGGGATCTAAGTTATGATTTCTACTTTTAGAAAACATGTATAAAATATTCTATTAAGTATCAAACCATATTTACAGAACTTTCTCAACAATTTACTAATAATTAATATATTTACGTATTGTTGTATGGCTGGATGGCATTCTTCTGTAACGTCTAGGTCGACCAACAGAATGTATAAAACGTTGTTCTAAATTAAACCTCAGATTAATCATCTCCTGTTTGCTCATATCTTCGGCCAAGATGAAATGGGTATGATCTGGATTCAGTTCAAATCTATCTAGATGTGGCTTTTGACCAACATTTTCAACGGATTTAGGTTCATTATGCTGTAAATAGGCAAACTTCTATTACACTGTGTGTATAGATAATATACAGCAGAAATTAGAACAGATACAATGTAATACATGATTAAAAAACAACAACAACAAAAAACAGTGATGCATAAACTATCAATACACTAGTCAACTGTATACCTAGTCAAATTCTGTCAAATCAAAAACTTTACCCACTGACAAAGACCTTCATATCCAATCTGATTAAAACACAGATCCTATTTTGTTGTGTTTTGTTTTTTATAGTTCAAAATTTTGTTTTACTTGTCTTTACTACACTAGGATTGACGTGTTCTGGATGATGTGAGGGATTAGCCAATGAAACGGTCTGTTACGGCGAGCTTTTGGCATGAGCTGCACGGAACTGTGGGTAATCCACTAGAAACATCAATTTACTAATTGGTCATAGGGTCAAAAGCCACCCTTATGACCTCTGATGTGACCCCCCAAAACAACTGGTCAGATCTTCATGTAGATCTGTATTTTAATCAGATTTCTCTGTATATTCTGCTCACACAGTCAAATAAAGTGTTGATTTTTCTCCTAGTATTATATCAATATTTTTAATGGTCAGTGATTTACGATGTGTTGAAATTTGAAAAGATAATGTGGCAAATAGTTCATGAAAGATTAATTCACTCAGAAAGATCTGAATTAAAATAAATCTTGTCACTTTTATAACAAATTCCCTAAAATATTTAGGCATTAATTAAACGGAAATTATAAGTCGTAGTTTAATGACAATTAGTTGTTCTATTTTGTTTTTGTTTTAAACCAAAATATCTAGAATTCTCATACAATACAATTTTTGATATAACATGTATTCAACATATTCTTGCTGATGTTAGAAAAACTGTTAATAAAAACTCTTTATGAGATATTACATGAACACACAACAGCATAAACTCCCCGAACAAATGGTAATGTATGAATGAAAAAATTATTATTGGTAAAAGTATTCAGTAACCTTAATTCTGTTTAATGAGGGGTTAGGATTGGGGTTTAATGTCCAACCAACACAAACTAGGTCATTTTGGGACTAACATATGGTCCAATTTATTTCAATAATTCGTTTGCGCGTAGGGGTCTTTAGCAGTGGGAGGAAACCGGAGAAAACCCATGAGGGTGGACAGGTGACCCTACTCCTTGTCACATACAACCGGGGAATCGAAACCACACCAGTTGACTCAATGACAGACCTTATGATACAACATGCATGCGCTAACCATTTGGCTGCCCCCCCCCCCCCTATTCTGTTTAGTATATAACAAATAAACAACATAGAGTAACAATAAATATTAGTTATTATAAACAACAATAACAATTATTATAACTGTGAAATAAACAAATGAGTCATGTGTTTCAGTATTAATAAATGAAACATGACCGTGCCATTTCATCATTGTGTGTTAAACTCAAACATGTGGTATTATTTTCATATACTACAAGAACTTTCGTTGAACTCACTGAAACAATTCCATTACATTGTTTCCACTTGCTACACCATGGTTTGTTTTTTTTACATTCAACGTAAACAAAACAGTCCAGTAGTGTAAAGAAAACTGAAACAAGTGATTTTCCAGTTTATTTAGCAGTTTGACTCTTACCTCAGTTACCAAAATTAGAGAGAGGGAAATGGAGTTTAATGTCCACTCGAAACATACTAGGTCATTTTGGGACTAACATATAGTTTAATTTCAATAATTCGCTTGTGCGTATGGGTCTTTAGCAGTGAGGGGAAACCGGAGGACCCGGAGAAAACCCACGAGGTTTGACAGGCGACCCTACTCCTTGCCACGTACAACCGGAGATTTGAAACCACACCAGTTGACTCAATGACAGGCCTTATGATACAGCGCACGTGCTAACCATTGCGTCATTCAACTCCCCTACCAAAATTAGATCTTTGTTTTGACTATTCCGACAGTTAAATGGTAGATACAGACCTAATATTATAATACTAATAAGAAATAAAGGAAATGTGTAAATAACTAAGAAGAAATGTAACACCAAATTAAGAATTTATAGCAACACAAAGATGGTATGTCAAAAGTTCTGCGTGCAGAATATCTCATAAAAAAGATAGGTTGCCAGGCAACGCCCACAGCAGCTAAATCGTCTGGGTCATAACTATGGCAGTAATTAATGGAAATTGTTAAAAATCTATAGTCTTCTTCGTTTCATGACCTCAAACACTGTGTATAAATCTAAAGTCAATCGGATATTAACTTTAGTCTCTAGAGCGCTAACAAGATATTTCAAAGTGATCAAGGGGCCATAAGTCAATCGGATATTAACTTTCAACTATAGAGCTTCTACAAGGGCCATAACTCTGAGAATAATTATCGGAAATCGTTAAGAATCAATAGGCGTCTTTGTCTCATGACCTCAAACACAGTGTATAAATTCAATCGGATATTAACTTTAGCCTCTAGAGCGTCCACAAGCAATTGTGGACGCCGAACCAACAGACCAACGAATGGGGGTGACGGCAATATACCTCATTCACTCACACCGTGCTTTTTCATGAAAACTGGATTGATTCCGTGCAGCACTAATTGTTGAACAAAAAACACAGAACAGGACAGTCATTACAAAACATTAAAGTGAGTGTCAAGGTCCTTCATAACGAATTAAAATTATTTTGGGGTTAGAAGTTAATGCCAATTAATAAATTCTTGTACCCAATCGTCGTAACTTGATTCCAATGAAGAGGTCTCACGGACAATTAAATTCCTATGGTTGCATGGAGTGACAACACTCTGCTTACTCTGAATATAATATTTTCAGTATAAAATTAGATTTTAATCCATTCAGATAAAAAAACAAAACAATAACATTTCTATAACAAAGTGTAAGAATATTACACATAAAAAACATGCATGATAACTTGTGCTAGAATCAACTAAATACCTTATTTCATATCTACGTGCAATAAAAATAGAAAATAATGGAGTTACGATATAAAATGAAGATGTTTCTGATTAAGGGGCTTTAAATGTCAACCATAAAACTCAACTTTATTGAACTGATACCAACAAATGCTGTCTTAAACAACATAACCTCAAGGAGTTATTCCTATATAACTAATTAGATGAGAGCAGATTTTGTTAACCATTGAAAATGGTGGTAATGGGGGGGGTGGGGGGGAATGGGGATTTTGGAATTTTCAAGCTCGGAGTTAGTTGCATAGCTAAATAACAAGTGACTGTTTTTAAACACTTGAAACAAATCATATTAAGTTTAGTTGAGTTGTAATTCGACATACAAGCCTTTATATTCTCAGAAGTAAAATTTCATTTCTTGGGATACACTTGCATAACTTTATCGAATATGTAGACAAGATTTAAAGAAACATTGTATTGCCTGGGCAGCACTTTGTGAAAGAAGGCAAAAATGGCATATTATGTTGTGATGTAAAATTAAGTGAAATGAACTGAAATGGGATTTAACATCCTACGGTTTGCTCCAATTGGGCTAATAAAGAAGGGTATACACAATACAGTGTGTTATGAGGGAAATTTTGCCCAGGCAGTGGCACTATGGCCTACTCTTATATCAAATTCAAACTGTCAAGGGATCTTTTACGTGCACACCAATGTATAAACAGGACCTTTGTTTTCCATCCCATCCGTATGACTAGACAGCTGTCCTTGTCAGGCTCTCATTCCTGCACCACTGACAAGGGGAAACCACATCGGGAAATCCCGATGAACTTTCTCTGACAATGCCTTACCCACTTAGCCACTGTGGCTCCTGTAAAAGTAATGTTTCCGTGGTAGGGGTAATAACTTTGATTAAAGTATGTATAGCTGAACTATCCCTGCAACTTAGAAAAAAAATCTCTGTAGTGTGTTTACAAGGGACACACATACAGACGGAAGGGTGTGATAATAATTTACTCACAGAAAAAATGTGGGTATACAAAAAATCAGTTACCTTTCCATCCAAATAGCTTCCATAAGATATTTCTGATTTTGAAACAACACCGATGACAGTCAACTTGGGTAGTTTCTCTCGAACCCAGGTATTTTCAATATGTAAATTATCCAACTCTAAACTACTTCTTCGAGCTAGTTCTTCAGCTACAGCATTACCAATTAATTTTGACATACCACTGTCTAACCCATCTGTTAACACCCACATTTCTGTTAAATTTGCTGCCTGTAAAAATAAATGGTTGGCCAAGTGACAGTGACTAAAAATTAGATCAGCTCACACTAAATGGCAGTCTCATTAAAATACAGATCTATATTTTTTTTTGTTTGGAAGGTCGCGTCAGAGGTCATATGAGTGGCTTTTGACCCTATGATGTTCGACTCTTTATTAACCAATCAGCGTAGTAAAGACAAGTAAAGATAGGTTGCCAGGCAATGAAACATACTCCCACAGCAGCTAAATCGTCCAGGCAGACAACAAGTGTTGTCGCATATTTTTTACTTTTTTTGGTAATGAAACATTTGTAATACACTAAAATCTGATTAAGAGTAACAGAGGGAGAGAGAGAGAAATGGGGTTTAACGTCTACTCGACACAAACTAGGTCATTTCGGGACTAACATATGGTACAATAATTTTATTTACATAATTCGCTTGCGCGTAGGGGTCTTTAGCAGTAGGAGGAAACCGGAGGACCCGGAGAAAACCCACGAGGTTGGACAGGCGACCCTACTCCTTACCACGTACAACCGGGGATTCGAAACCACGCCAGTCGACTCAATGATAGACTTTATGATACAGCGCGCGCACGCTAACCATTCAGCCATCCAACCCCCCGATTAAGAGTAACAACTCATGAAGTAATTATCAATCTGAAGTCAATCGGATGATAACTATAGCCTCTAGAGCATCACAAGATTTTTCGAAGTGATCAAGGGCCATAACTTTGGCAGTAATTATCGGAAATCAATAGGATTCTTTGTCTCATGACCTCATATACTGTGTATTAATTTACAGTCAATCGGATATTCACTTTAGCCTCTAGAGCATCCACAAGATTTTTTGAAGTGATTGAGGGCAGTATTTATCGGAAACTGCTGAAAATCAATAGGCTTTTTCGTCTTGTCTCATGACCTCATATACGGTGCATTAATTTAAAGTCAATCGGATATTCACTCTAGCCTCTAGAGCATCCACAAGATTTTTTGAAGTGATTGAGGGCAATATTTATCGGAAATTGCTGAAAATCAATAGGATTCTTCGTCTTATGACCGTAAATGTGTATAAATTTAAAGTCAATCGGATATTAACTTTGGCCTCTAGAGCATCCACAAGATTTTTTGAAGTGATCAAGGGCCATAACTCTGGCAGTAATTATTAGAAATTTCTGAAAATCAATAGCCTTCTTCGTCTCATGACCTTAAACACTGTGTATAAATTTAAAGTTACTAATTTTGACCTCAAGAGCATCCACAAGATTTTTTGAAGTGATCAAGGGCCATAACTCTGGCAGTAATTATCGGAAATCGTTGAAAATCAATAGGATTCTTTGTCTCATGACCTTAAACACCGCGTATAAATTTAAAGTCAATCGGTTATTAAATTTGACCTCTAGAGCGCCCACAAGATCTTTTGAAGTGATCAAGGGCCATAACTCTGGCAGTAATTATCGGAAATCGCTGAAAATCAATAGGGTTCTTCATTTAATGTTACAGAGACTATGCAAGCTTTATCTCTGCCATTTTAAAGATGACTGAATACAAAATTTTAATTTATTTTTAAGGATCTGATAGAGCTTAGATCTGAAGTTTCACTTTTTTCTACTCATTGAAAAAACAGTTAAATAATGCCCCATATACAGAGAGAGAGAGAATGGGGCTTAACGTCCAACTCGCCACAAACTAGGTCATTTCGGGACTAACGTATGGTTTAATTTTATTTCAATAATTCGCTACCAGGCTGGACAGGCGATCCTACTCCTTGTCACGTACAACCGGGGATTCGAAACCACGCCAGTTGACTCAATGACAGCCTTTATGATACAGCACGCACGTGCTAACCATTCGGCCATCCAACCCCCCATATACAGAGTTTGTGTTCAAATTTGGTCAATATTTTTCTTTTACCAATACTATCATGTTTATTTCTAAATCTTTAAGAATTATTTTTCAACGAATCTCTATCACTATCATCATGTATTAACAAATCCTGTCAGCATGAGATAACCAATAGCCAAAAAGACAGCCGATTTGTCTCGAAGATTTATAACATAAATTGAAACTAAATTAATTTGATATATTTTGCTGGGAGAAATATTTCAATTATTAAAATTGAACAATGCTGACAAACCTCAATAATTCCTCTCTGAAAATCTTCAACCTGTACTTCATTTTTCCATGCTTTAAAGTATTTGGTATTTGTTATGAGAGATAACACAACTTTTGGTGATCTTTTCTTCCAACGATAGGCAATAAAATCAGCAATATTATCCACAGATGCTTCTTTTGGTACACACACATAATATCTATCCTGTAGAAAAATAGTAAAAACAACTAGAAATCAGTCATTCTATTTAATTCTGAGGTTTTATTGAGGCCCCTTATGCCATTTATAAACTGAAATGAAATGAAATGAAATGGGGTTTAACGTCCAACTATTCTGCTCCTATACTGGGCTAATGAAGACGGGCATACGCCATACACAGTGTGCTATGAGGGAAATTTTGCCCGGACAGCGGCACTACGGCCTACTCTTACATGTATATCGAATTCCAACTGCCAAGGGATCTTTTACGTGCATTCCAATGTTCACACGGGACCTCGTTTTTTCGTCTCATCCAAAGGACTAGACAGCTGTCCTTGTCAGGCCCTCCGCCCTGCACCACTGACAATGGAAACCAAGTCGGTAAATCCTGATGAACTTTCTCGGCCAATGCAGGGATCAAACACGAGACCTCCAGGCTAGCGAGCCAGCGTCTTACCCACTTAGCCACCGTGGCTCCCCCACTTAGCCACCGTGGCTCCCCCATTATTAAACTATGGCCAAAGTTAGATCTATTTGATAAGGCTAACTTCAAGTTTGGTCAAAGGTCACAAGATGTAATATAAGAGATAAGAGTGGCTTGAAGACCTGGTTATCCCGAGTGTCATTGACTAGTTTTGTTCGTATTGAACTCTTTAGACTGATTGGACTCGTTCGTTCATCGTTCGTTTCTAGAGTTTTACGTCCACTTCCACCTAAGGTGATATCGTAGACAAGATTGGACTCACGTGGAAGGCGTTTTTATTTATACTATTCAGAAACACCGGTGGTTACTAAATGGCGGGGTTACCAGGGTTGGTGAATTTGTTACCGGGGTCGGTAGCTCGCTTACAGGGGTTGTACAGAGGTTTGACAACTTGGAACACAATTTTAGATTTGTCGTTGATTCCATAAAGTAGTTAGGTTTTTAAACGTTAAATATTGTGTGATTCAACACGGTGCCCGAGAGTTTTGATATATATAGGTACGAATTAGTACCAAATAGTTTATTTATATGTGATTTATATGAGAGTCAAGGTTTGCACTTTCTCCCTCTGCTTCTTTATATTCAGTATTGTATGTTTTTGTGGTAAATATATGCTCTAACTTTATAGTCAATTTACCTCAATTCTACTGAACACTTAAAATGTTTCTCACTATAACATAGACCATTTAGTTTTAGACTATCTGGCTTTTTTATACATTTCACTGATATTTGTATAGGTAATATTTTACTTCAATATATAGCAGATCATGACTCGTACTAGTATTACACAATGTTTTTCTCGGTTATATTCCTGATGGTTTGATTTTTTCAATTTTGAGTGAAGTCTGTATCCCTACAGGGACTGTACAGCGCAGTGGACGCTTACGGCTAGCCTCCGTATTCATTCACTCAGTCAGATATGTACATTTATTTGTAATTTCTGCGTATTGTTTCTTGTCCCTGGATTTGTTTTGTGTAATTATGTGTGGTGCAGTCCACCTGCACTTACTGATATTTCATAAACATGAAGAGACAAGTAGTGTAATAACAGTAAATAACACATAACTAATATCAGGTGTTTTCAAACAAGTATCAAATGTTATGGTACATCTGAATAGAATCTCTAATAAAACAGCTAATAGATAATGCTGATGATGTTCACCTGAGGCTGAACATGTTTATTATTATCATAGAGTATTGATGTAATAAAACTCTACACCACGTTTCATAACTCTCATTCCAAAACAGAGTTATTGTGTCTCACAGCATCGACAAATCAAATTGTTTATTTCTAAGTAGAAAACACTCATTCTGAAACTCAGTGAAGACATTCACAATTTGTACATAGACTACACTAAGTTTCAACAGTCTACCTCAATTAGAAGCAGGGTTATTGTGTTCCAACCATTTCATAATCCTTTGCTTTTTCCGAAACGAAAATTTATTATGTAACCAATAGGAGTAATGGTGTTTGTACCTATAATTATTATTTTTAAACGTGATTGGACAGTGCCTTTATTATATAAATGAAGTGACATACTTACTTTATCATTGACATCCCCTCCTAACATTAAAAACTGTATAATCCCTGATGACCACATGTCATACGGACCAAACATGGCCGTTGACGATTCTCGACTAACTGCTGAATCAGAACTCTGTATGGTACTGTATTTTGGATCCAGTTTTAATCCACCAGAGTTATAGTCCATGGTACCAGCAGGAAAGCTCACTTTCTTTCCTTCAACCGATGGTGTTTCTTAAAAGAAAAACATGATGACATGACTTGCATTATTGTGATAACATTAGATTCCCAGTTAATACTAGGTCAGGGTATAAAGACACCTGTCTTGTTCACAATTTCAAAGACAAACACTGATATATTAGGCCATACAAACAAAATATTCTGGTTCCTTCGGTCAAAACACATTGTTTCTGTAAGTGTTTTTATTTATTTTTTGGGGGGTGGAATTTAGTCAGTTTGTGCAGCTAAAACTGTACATGGTGCAAACATTCTGCCAACGTAGATGTGGTTGGCCTCCGTGCGTCTATTTATTAAATATAAATTGGGTCATTTTTGACAAACGGGAAGTGTTTTACGAATGGGACAAAAAATAATCTCAGACTGCCCATATCTCGGGTATTTCTCAACAGATCCTACTCTATGGCCTACTCTTATATCGAATTCCAAACGAGTAGTCAGCTGTCCATGTTGCCACTGACAATGGAAACCCCGATGAACTTTTTCAGCCAATGCAGGGATCACCAGCGTCTTATCCACTTAGCCACCGTGGCTCCCCCCACCACAAATAAAAATTTGGTCATAATTTACTGGATTTTCAGATGGCAGGATTTATTTATTGTGAACTATATTTATAATCAACAAATATATATCTACCTTCATCCTCATCTGACGTATTAGTAAAACTAAATGTTGGAATACTAGACGGAGACTGTTGTCTTTCCACCAGATCCATGGCACCTGGACCCATCTCAAATACATCATCATCATCGTTATTTTTAGATTTCTTCCTACTCATCTTTACGGTGAATCACTGAAATAATAAATCAAATATCATGTTTGATCAATATGCAAATTATGTTTACTGTTTCAACAAAACAGCATGTTTACAAGATTCACCAATAGCTAAAGGCAATATCTAATATTAGATTACAATCTCATATTGTTTTTTCATTGTACACTGTTCCGCTTCATGGCACAGTCTTAATACATGTATGAACAACTACACAAAGCATCTATTTAATCAGTAATTTTTGCAGCAAAAGCAATGGTTATTGTATCAATAATTACTGATGTATAAGTTTAAAGATACATTATCTCGAAAGTATTTATCCGGTGGTCATTTGGTATATAGAAAGTATAGACCCCCAAATCTTACTAGAAAAATACTGGATGACCCAAAAAACACCCATTTGGCAAGCACTGGGCAAAAATGTCAGGATATCACTAACTGGTAACCCGACTGTTGTCTGCCAGCTTATTGTGTGCTAGCTTGAATGAGGGAGCGGTTTTCATTTCTTAGTCAAATCGTTAGGGGGTTTAGGGAACATTGAGGGGTATTAATGTACAAAATGGCGGAAAAGGTAGTTGACAGAAAATATTAAGAACTTACTTAGGCCTCAATGTGTATGATAAATGGACAGTAAGTAACGAAAAATACATTCTGAAAAATGGACCCTCCCTCAATGAATTGAGTTGACTAACATGGAGTCTAACAACAGTTTATTTATACATGTAGCATGCAGTATCTCCCGACAAATGCAAAGTTTTGACAAGAATTTAAGCAAATTTTTGATAGATTAATTAGTCAGAATATGTTATTAGTCGAAATATATCATTAAATCACACAGTTTGTACGCGGGAACGTATCTTTAATATGAACATGTCTTTTATAAATCGGGGTTCACTTCCCATGCTGGTTGAGACAGTTCATCTGGATTTTCCTCTGTGTTTTCCCCTATTCAGAGGTGCAGGACAGAAGGCCTGGCAAGGAACAGTGACTAATCATTTGGAAGGGATGAATAATTGAGGTGTGACGTACACAAAATAACCCTTTACTAAGTTTATTGTTGCAATCTAAAATAAAAGTATGGCAAATGTCTCTCATAAGTAGGATGTTAAAGCCCATTTCATTTACTATAAGTTCAATTAGTATTTTTTAACAATGGTTGTCAATGTCCATAGAGATATAATATACTGTTACATGTACATGTGTATCAACAAAATACAGTTACTTTCATTTATCAAATATACAAATAGTGAATTATGCTTAAGTAAGGATTAAATTAATAAGTATGAGACTTAATTATCTATTGGGCTGATGAACATTAGACATTCCAATAGGTTTATTGTCCTACGGATCAGCTGTGACAACAGAAGTATGTATATCTTAGACAGTGTTCCTATGAATGATTGATGGGGGGGGGGGGGCTAGAGTGCTGCGCTTCGAGCTCTTGTTGGCTTGTGGCCATGGTTTCAATCCCTGGTGTGAGCGTATCAGGCTTAGAGATAGGGGTGCCTTTTCAACCTCTCGGGTTTACTCTTGGTATTCCAGTTTCCTCCCACAGGAAAGACCACTGCAGGTGCGCTATGATAATGAAAGAGAGAGAGAGAGAGAAATGGGGTTTTACTTCCACTCAACACAAAACTAGGTCATTTCGGGACTAACATATGGTTCAATTTTATTTCAATAATTCGCTTGCATGTAGGGGTCTTTAGCAGTGGAAGGAAACCGGAGGACCTGGAAAAACCCCAGAAGGTTGGACAGGCGAACTTACTCCTTGTCACGTACAATCGGGGAATCGAAACCACGCCAGTTGACTCAATGAAAGACTTTATGATACAACGCGCATACGCTAACCATTCAGCCATCCAACACCCCTGCTAAGATAATAAAAATATGATAAAGCAACTTGTCTGCGATATCATGAGAAGCGGATGTTAAACACTAATAGAAGAATGATCAACAGATAAAGAGATCTATTGATTACAGATCTAAACAATTAATAAAATCACCCATTCAAGATAAGCTTCTAAAAAGAATCAATAAGTCATTATTTTCAAGATAAAATCTGGAATATTATTATGATATTGTGTATTGTCATACATTATATTATATATAAAATCAATAAAGAGTCTCTGAAAGAACTATTTGGTTTATAATCAACAAGAGGATATTACAAATGAGACCCTGAATAACCGTATTTCTTACTTTGAATTACAAAAAATAGTGAAATAAATATTTTCTCCTAAAAATATTTCATTTTAGGTATATATATATCCATGTCAGTAAGACAAACTCTTAAGATATGATATGACCTTTTGAACTGATTGATAGGTCACTGACCTGTAACAACTACATAAGTACCTGATTACCTTGTCTATTAAAAAAAATGGATGTTTGCCAAAATGTGTAACTACAGAAACTGTTACAGGAAAATGATAAATTCAGGGCTTTTCTTATAACTTAACCACTATATTTTCAAAAGCTCCATCTGTTCTGTTGGATGCAAAATAAGGACACGTCTTAGAACTCTTAAACCTTCTAACGTTGTCTTACATCCCTTTATAAACTAAATTATAATATTTGAAAATAAAAATAACTGGTGAATGAGCATTGATTTCTATCTTTATTTGTAGATTTAATTGTCATGCATAGATTCCACATTCAAGTGCAATAAGGGCCATAACTCTTCATTTCACTAATATGAATATTGCATACAATTCATACAAATCGTATGTTAAGTTATTTGTGATTAGAGAGTTGACAAGTGAAGGGAGTCATGATAACTCAGTAAGTATGACAGTATGTTAGCCTCGAGGTCCAGTGTTCGATTTCCCGGTATGGTTCCCCCTTGTGAGTGGTATAGGGAGAGAGAGAGAGAAATGGGGTTTAACGTCCACTCGACACAAACTAGGTCATTTCGGGACTAACATATGGTTTAACTTTATTTACATAATTCGCTTGCGCGTAGGGGTCTTTAGCAGTGTGAGGAAACCGGAGGCCCCGGAGAAAACCCACGAGGTTGGACAGGCGACCCTACTCCTTGCCACGTACAACCGGGGATTCGAAACCACGCCAGTCGACTCAATGACAGACTTTATGATACAGCGCGCGCACGCTAACCATTCAGCCATCCAACCCCCCGAGTGGTATAGGACAGAGTGACTAGAAAAGGAAAACGTATAGTTATTTGGATGGGATGAAAAATACGAGGTCCTGTGTTCACATTGGAATGAAATGAAGTTTAACATACTACTGTTCTGCTCTGACTGGGCTAATGAAGACGGGCATACGTCATATAGTGTGCTACGAGGAAAATTTTGACTGGGCAGCGGCACTATGACCTACTCTTATATCGAATTCCAACAGGAACTGCCAAGGGATCTTTTACGTCACAATTACGTGCATGCCAATGTATACACGTGACCTCGGTTTTTCTTCCCATCTGAATGACTAGACAGCTGTCTTTGTCAGGCCCTTCGTGCTGCACCACTGATAGGGTGACCCACCATAAATAAATATCTCCATATATCTCGACAATTACGCCACAATATTTATATATATGCCAAGCCTCAAATCAGTTTCACACAATTATAGTCACTAAATAAACGATCATGTTGTACTTAATAAGCTATGACCATTAATCATGTAGAAATAATAGACTGAAAACTGGTTCCAAGAGTCGTCCATAACATCCAGACACTTTTGAGTAAAAGATAGGTTACGTGCCCTTGTTTTGAAATTAGTCTCGCTTAACCAGTCTATCGACCATTCTACGTCTGATTGACAGGTCGGGATAATCAAGACTACTTTTTTACGAAACATAACAGAAAGCTAGAACAAGAAATTAAATTTAGAAATAAGCACATTAGGTAGCTCAACAATCGTTTTAAGAAGCTTGTAAAAGTAAAATGAAACTACTGCTAGTATCATGTTCCTGTCTAACCCGAGTGATTCAGAGATATTATTTGTACTAAACCAAAAGATGCTGCTCTTAACGGTACAGTTAATATAAAGCGATTTAAAAAATGAAACGAACGTAATTTCTAAATCTGCTGTAATAACCAAGAAGCTTAATTTTACTGCTATTCAAAATCGTCAACAATAAATTTTTTACGGCTGTAATAGTTGATAGATTTGTAGAGAATTGCATGTGCAAGGGCTATTTATAGTATCATACTGTCAGAAAGTTAGTCTCCGCACGGCGAATGTGCACGCTTCAGTGGTAGTCTCAAACTATCAGCGGTGGACTGTATTTCTGTGAGTACATGGGTCACCCTACCACTGACATGGGGAAACTACGTCGAAAAATCCCGATGAGAGGGAGAGGGAGAAATGGGGTTTAACGTCCACTCGACACAAACTAGGTCATTTCGGGACTAACATATGGTTCTATTTTATTTCCATAATTCGCTTGCGCGTAGGGTCTTTAGCTGTGGGAGGAAACCGGAGGACCCGGAGAAAACCCGCGAGGTTGAAAAATCCTGATGAACTTTCTCGGCCAATGCGGGGATCGAATATGTGACCTCCGGGCTAGCGAGCCAGCGTTATACCCATCTTTTGGGTTATCATTTGATAATACTGGGTAGTATGTAGTATACTGCATGTGAGTTTTTATCTTTATGCAATAAAATTTATCTAATCTTACATTATTTACAAGCTTCGGTTGATTGAAATCATGCCAAAGATTCGGTTGATTGAAATCATGCCAAAGAATCGGTTGATTGAAATCATGCCAAAGACAGACCTTATGATCTATATTAAAGTGCACCCATTTAGACCACTCGACCCCACTCCCCAAAAAAACAAAAACACACACACTCACAAAGAATAGAGACTTATAGTTACAACTCCTTTTAAAAAAAAAACCCTAATAATTGAGTAATTGGACATGACAATGATCTCCATTATATAGGTCACTCACCTATAATATAGGCCAAGTCAGTACTTTCCCGTCTCCCTCTATTGGGTTACAATTAGAATTACAAAGGAAAACGACAATGACTGGTAGTTCAAAAAATGTTCCACTAGTTAAACAGGGTTAGCACAGTTCTTGTCCTAGAATCCTAGATAGTATGACAATAACATGTCATGCATAATACCCGATAACGGTTGACTGACTCAGCTGTAAGAGTGAGTCAAAGTTTATGACTACTAGTACTATGGCATAATTCATGATCACTATCAGATGTAGACGTCTTTAGTAACCACCACACACCACCAATCAATTTAAAATAAACACCGAGATACGTTATTGACACCGTTAAGTTTATCGTGCATATGTGCCTGCAGATTAGTGCAACAGGTTCGATGCGGTTTTTCGCGGATTATAGCTGACATCCCGAGGTAAATTTAACAAAATACTGAGAACGACAATATAATTAGCCCGCTCTCGGCCGCTGTATCTCTGACACGAATAGGTCCCATCCTAGTTGAACACCGTTCAACCACGATCGCACAACTAAACATTGATGATGTCGTCCCGTGCCTGCTTCTCGTAAAGATTTCTAGAGTAAGAAAATGCATTAAAAAATTACCGCATAGCAAAACAAGCTAAAGAGCTGACAGGCCTAAAGCAATTCATCCACCATACCGTCCATGTTTGCTTTGAAGTGGTAGATTTCAGACAAGGTAACCGGGACTATGTTTCTTATAGCGTGCGCACGCGTCCCAGAAAGCTCAAACTGAAAATGTCGGACAGCGAAGAAAGTGTTAGGTCTTTGTCCAAAAGACATAAACTATCACTGTCCCTTTTCAACGATGGATCAGGGGATGATTTGGACGATATATCGAGTACTGCTAGCACCAAAGAGGAAGAATCCTCAAGGAGCGACACTCCAACACAACTCTACGCCAGAAGAGGACGAGGGAAACACAAGTCCAAGAAATGCAAGCTCCAATACAAATGCACTAACATTTTGCACGAGGACCACGGACAACCCATTTTTGGTGTTCAGATAAATCTGAATGCACCAGAACAAGATCCATTAACATTTGCGACAGTAGGCAACAATAGGGTTAGCGTGTACGAATGCCAAGAAAATGGCAAAGTGAAATTATTACAGGCTTACGTAGATCCTAGTAATGATGAAAATTTCTATTGCTGTGCCTGGTCCCATGATGATGTCACAAAACAACCCTTATTGGCAGTAGCAGGTGTCAGAGGAATTGTAAGAATTATTAGTCCTGTTGCCATGCAGTGCATCAAGCACTATGTTGGCCATGGTAATGCCATAAATGAACTAAAATTCCATCCCAAAGACTCAAATCTTCTATTATCCGTGAGCAAGGATCATTCCATGCGAATGTGGAACATTAAAACAGATGTGTGCGTTATAATATTTGGTGGTGTGGATGGTCACCGAGATGAATTGCTTAGTGCAGATTTTAATCTCGAAGGAACAAAAATTATTTCATGTGGAATGGACCATTCATTGAAAATATGGAATTTAGATACTGAAGATTTTTACAGTGTAGTGAAAGAGTCATACGCGCATAATCCTAGTAAAATCAAAAGACCATTTTCCACAATTTCCAATCATTTTCCTGTTTTCTCAACACGAGACATTCACAGAAATTATGTTGATTGCGTTAGATGGCTGGGGAATTTTGTTCTCTCGAAATCATGTGAAAATTGTATTGTTTGTTGGAAGCCAGGAACTATTCATCAGCCTATTGATAAGGTCACAGACAATACCATCAACATAATTTTTAGGTTTGATTATAAAGAGTGTGACATATGGTACATGCGCTTCTCTCTTGATTCCTCGCAGAAAATAATGGCATTGGGGAATCAGTGTGGTAAAATATATGTATGGGATTTAGACACCTCTGATCCTTCATTAGTCAGATTCACAAAACTTACTCATTTTAAAAGTACCACTGCTATTCGACAAACGGCTTTATCTAAAGATGGAAGCATTCTGTTGGCTGTCTCCGATGATAGCAAAATTTGGAGATGGGATAAAATAAGCGGCTGATTAACTGTCTACTTAAGTTTTGTTAAAAGTTTAATTTTTTAAATGGAACTCTTTGAACATGAAATTTGAATATAAAAAAATATGTTAATGCTTTAAAGGATTATTGAAGATAATAAAATTTTGCTTCATGAATAACCTGTTTTTTTATGTACAATGTATCCATCATCCTGTCATGTAAATCTGTAATAGATCATGCTTGAATTGTCCTTAAACAATCACCACTCCTAACAACATGCAGGCCGAAATTAAGTAGGAGTGGTTATTTAAACTGCTATTTCCTATCAAAATGTTAATACTGAATAATCCTGGAGTGATGTACATGTAGCTAGGGCAAACCACGAAGCACTATATAAAGGGTGGAATAATTTGATCAAATGTTGTTTATTTTCATTGCTAGGGTACTTGGGGTTTGCATGAAAAAATTCAGATATGGACCATCTGTTGGAAAAACCCAAAGTATGCACGCATTTGTTGGTCACAGCTTTGACCAGTCAAATTCATTTTTATTCTGGGGTAAATATAGAGTTAACAGATATCAGGGGTTTTATGTACATACAGTATACTTTATTCAATAGTGTGTAATAAATGTTGGGTGGTGGGTAACATCTACACGGTTTTATCAGGGACATTTATAGTGCAAATAGTGCAGCAGAACCTTGGCCTTCATAAGGTTGCCCAATCCCCACAATAGATGAAATAATATATATAGAAAAGTATTACTAATATTAATATTAGAAAAGTATTATTAATATTAGAAAAGTATTTTTAATAGTATTAGAAATTTAATATTAGAACAATATTATTAACATTAGAAAAGTATTAATAATACTGTTATTGTATTGAAGAGGTTAATTGGAGAAATATCGAAAAACTATCCTAAGTTCCGCACACATGTAAATTTCATTTCAAAAGATACAAATTAATTTTACAGTTCGATATTGTTTTTATATCGAAGTATGTATGTGTATGGTTGGCTTCTAATCCAACCATGCGTTTGTACTGACCAGTAATGTTTTCGGGAAGGGTGAGGATTGTAGGATACGCTTATTTTAACACCAAGGATGATAAATCCGATAAAACTATATTTTTATGAGCGGGTGTCCTAAACTGTTGATTGTCACAAACGGTCAATTTGAACATGTATTATGTATCAACAATATCTAACTGAATAATTCAAGGTCTACACGATAAACTGTCACTGTTGTTTGTGAGTTGGGATAACCCATTTTAGATTCACTCGGTCATGTAATAAAATGAAATGGGGGTTTAACGTTCTTTTACCATCAACCTTCGAATTCTAAGTTGTTTGTGAGTTGGGATAACCAATTTTAATTCACTCGGTCAATGTAATAATATGAAATGGGGGTTTAACGTTCTACCTCAACCTTTGAATTCTAACTACCAAAGCTTTCTAATGTGGAAGCCAAACTGTTCAAGGGACCTCGGTTTTCATACCATCTGAACAATTAGACGCTGTCTTGCCAGGCCATACGCCCTTCTCGACGAACAAGGGGGAATAAGCTGAAAATTTAATTTGCTTTTCTGGGCGGTTTTAGTGGCAGAGATGCTTAAAATTAGATCCATTGATAATTATTGCCTGTTTAGGAGATAATAAAAAATCTTCGAACCCTTTGAGGTATCTGAAAACCCATACTCGATCCTCGCAGTGTTTCGTTTGATTAGACCTAATCCTACTCGTGATTTCTCGGGCCATTGCTTCACAATACTCCTCGCAGTGTTTCGTTTGATTAGACACGGGATTTCTCGATCGGGTCATTGCTTCAGGATTATGCTGGAAACCAGGTCCTATTTTTCTTACTAACTATTCGACATTTGTGAAAAATAGATAGGATCATTGATCAGCACCTAGGGTGACCTATGCATACTTTGACGGCCATTTGACCCGATGAAAATGCAGTGCATACCAAATGAAATGAAATGGGGTTTAACGTCCTACTGTTCTGCTCCGAACTGGGCTAATGAAAACGGGCATAACGCCATACAGTGTGCTACGAGGGAAATTTTGCCCGGACAGCGGCACTACGGCCTACTCTTTTATCGAATTCCAACTGTCAAGGGATCTTTTACGTGCACGCCAATGTGTACACCGGACCTCGGTTTTTCGTCCCATCCGAACGACTAGACAGCTGTCCTTGTCAGGCCCTCCGTCCTGCATCACTGACAAGGGGGAACCACGCCGGAAAATCTGGATGAACTTTCTCGGCCAATGCAGGGATCGAACACCCGACCGCCAGACTAGCGAGCCAGCGACTTAGCCACGTGATCCCCCCCCCCCCAGTGCATACCAAATCTCAAACTCTAATGCTAACCATATTCAGTTCGTCTATATATTTCGTGATTTTTCAACGATCCCGATTACTTTCCGTAAACGATAATTAATAAGCCTATATACCAATATTAGTAGTAAATTTCATATCATTAAAATAAATATACAAAATTCAACATAATTTTATAAATGGAATAGTTTTATATTCAAATTATAAATAATTGATTATGCTTCTTCTTCGCCTTCCTCTTCATCAAATTCCCCTTCCTCTTCAGCTGTAGCATCCTGGTATTGTTGATATTCAGATACCAGATCATTCATGTTAGATTCAGCTTCCGTAAATTCCATCTCATCCATACCTTCACCAGTATACCAATGGAGGAAAGCCTTTCGTCTAAACATAGCTGTAAACTGTTCAGATATTCTTTTAAACAGTTCTTGAATAGCTGTACTGTTGCCAATAAATGTTCCTGACATCTTCAGACCTCTTGGAGGAATATCACAGACAGCTGTTTTTACGTTGTTGGGAATCCATTCAACAAAGTAGCTGCTGTTTTTATTCTGAACGTTCAACATCTGTTCATCCACCTCCTTCATAGACATACGACCTCTGAACATGGTAGCTACTGTTAGGTAACGTCCGTGACGAGGATCGCAGGCAGCCATCATGTTCTTGGCATCAAACATCTGCTGGGTGAGTTCGGGTACAGTGAGAGCTCGGTACTGCTGGGAACCACGAGAGGTGAGGGGAGCAAAACCTGGCATAAAGAAATGCAGACGTGGGAAAGGTACCATGTTGACCGCCAGTTTACGTAGATCAGCATTCAGTTGACCAGGGAATCGAAGACAGGTGGTCACTCCAGACATGGTGGCTGATACCAGATGATTGAGGTCACCGTAAGTAGGTGTGGTCAGTTTGAGGGTACGGAAACATATATCATAGAGAGCCTCGTTATCAATACAGTAGGTCTCGTCTGTATTTTCTACCAGTTGATGAACTGAAAGGGTAGCGTTGTATGGCTCTACAACTGTATCTGATACCTGAAATTATACACAAATAAGGAATCATTAGAAAACGAATTCATTGAAATAAAACACTTTTAAAGATTAGATGGTCCTCAGTAATACTAAAGTTAAACGAACCAGTCTTTATTCAGGTTATTAATTCATTAATTCATTTTTTTAAATAATAAAATTCATTTTTTTAAAATAATAAAATTCATTTTTTGAAATAATAAAATTCATTTTTTGAAATAATAAAAGAAGAGGAATATTGTAAATATCGTTACCTTAGGTGAAGGACAGACAGAGAAGGTGTTCATGATTCTGTCTGGATATTCTTCACGGATTTTACTGATGAGGAGAGTTCCCATACCAGAACCAGTTCCACCTCCAAGGGAATGGGTCAGCTGGAATCCCTGGAGACAATCACAGCTTTCTGCTTCTTTACGGACCACATCTAGAACAGAATCAACCAACTCGGCGCCTTCTGTATAATGACCTTTAGCCCAGTTATTACCAGCACCACTCTGACCAAAGACAAAATTATCTGGACGGAAGATCTGACCAAAAGGTCCTGATCGTACAGAATCCATGGTACCAGGTTCCAAGTCGACGAGAACAGCTCTGGGTACATATTTTCCTCCTGTAGCTTCATTATAATAAACGTTGATTCTCTCCAACTGGAGATCAGAATCACCGTGGTAAGTTCCAGTTGGGTCGATACCATGTTCATCAGAGATTACTTCCCAGAACTGCAAAGGCAAAACATTTCAATGCATGATGAGACGCTTTTACGACTATGGTAATTACAGATTGGGAGCATTTGTCTTGGAAATTCCATATATGAAATCTAAACTATTCTGCTCACACTGGTTTGAGTATCTCTTTTAATGGGCACCGATTTATACATACTATTACGCTTATCAGAGTTTACTTCCCAGAATTAAAAGGACAAAGGATTCCAATGCATAACACGCACTTACACCAATTTAATATACGAATTCTAAAAAATACTTAAATTATGGAATGGTCGCTCACTTAATTCACGTAGATGGTGCTTATCTGGAATTCGTTTTTTGACCGTGAGTTTATGCAATCCCATTGTTTATGAAAGCTTCATCAAGGTGGCATATATAGATATGGTTGTAATAATAAAGTGAAAATGATATCATTTTTCATATTAGGTCTAGATTAAGATAAGTTGCAAAATCTAGAGAAAACCTGCATATCCATGGATGTTATAATTAGCCCTCTTACTAAATATATTTGTTTTAGAAAATATCATGATAAAGTTTCTAATATAATGTATAAAATCGTTTTTGACATAAGAAAAAACAGTTTTACCTTAGCTCCGATCTGGTTGCCACATTGGCCAGTTTGCATATGAACGATTTCTCTCATGTTGAAAGTTTAAAGGGTTAACTGTGAAGACAACTGAAGGAACAGGAAACAGAAAGAGGATGTTGAAATCGGGAATATTTAGTCGTTATATACCATGGACTGTTTCTCTTGGTAACTGTGTTTGTACAAAACATATCAACACACCATCAAAACAACTGACATAATCCTCTTAATCTGCTTAATTACATTATAAAACACCCATTCGTGTATAACACACTCGTTATCGGGAAGGTCATTACAGTAATGCTGCCAAACAGAATGGGAAAATATCGAATGCGCAAATCAACCGAAAATACTTTATTGAAATTGTGAAGACGTATTTAGAATGAATGAACTGGGATTTAACGTCCCATTTTCTGCCCCTATCGGGCTAATCAAGACGGGCATTATGAGGGAAAATTCTGCCGAGCGGCAATTAAATCCCAACTGTCAGGGTTTCTTTTACTTGTGCGCCAATGTGTACGCGGGACCTCGATTTTTCGTCCCATTGGAACGTCTAGGTGCGGTTCCTTGTCAAGCCTTCCGCCCTGAACCGTCTTGTTTAGAATCATGGGAGCCATCATGGCTAAGTGGGTAAGACGCTGGCTCGCTAGCCTGGAGTTCGCGAGTTCGACTGGGATTTTCCGGAGTCGTTTCCCCTTGTTAGCGGTGCAGGACGGAAGCCCGACAAGGAGGTGTCTAGTCGTTCGGATTGGACGAAAAACCGAGGTCCCGTGTATCCATGACGTGCACGTAAGAGACCGATTGGCAGTTGGAATTAGATATAAGAGTAGACCATAGTGCCGCTGCCCGGGCAGAATTTCCCTTATAGCACACTGTATGGCGTATGCCCGTCTTCATTAGCCCAGTCGGAGAAGAACAGTAGGACGTTAAACCCCTTTCCATTTCATTTCATTTCATTTCAGGTGCTCATTCATGTTTAACGATCAATTATAAAAATGTGTCTCAGTGGGTGCGGTGCTGGGTCGCTAACCAGAAAGTCTCAGGTCCGACCCAGCTATTGGCCGAGTAGGTTCCTTGGGGTTGGCTTTCCCCATGCTTGTTGGCGTGCACGTAAAACAACCTTGGAGTTCGAAGACCTGTCAGAATCAAAGTACCTACCGCATGGGACATTCCCGTCTGCATCAGCCCAGATGATGCAGAAAAGTAGAGCCTTAAATCCCATTTCATTTGGTAAATATGATTTACAAAAAGGAGTCAATGTCGGGTAAAGTTTACCCTTTTCCGATAATTGTCTTAAAATAATGCATGAGGGAGGATGGAAATCGACAAATCCAAGAACTAGTTCAGCCCCAGTCCGCCAAGCGACAGAATGTAAGGCGTATGACTATTGGGGGTAAAGGTAAAACTATCCAATGTCCTGTGTTCGATCTTACAACATGACCCACTTCCATAGAATGGTCTCACGCGTTAGATCATAAGGTCTGTCATTAAGTCAATTTCCGTGATTTCGATACCCTGCTAATTGTGCGTGACAAGTAGGCCTAGTGTATAATAAGGTCGCCTACCTCACCTCGTTTGTTTCTCGATAAGGACCCCGACATGTATGAGATTTATTGAAATAAAATGTACCGCAAATGACCTGACTTCTGTTAAATTGACATTAAACAGAATCTGATAAATAAAGATCGCCGGGTTTGTATTTATGCGAATGAGAAATTGCGTTTTCTGAATCACTGGTGCGTGACGTGACAAGCGACCAAAACTTATGGTGTCAAATAAACATCAAGAAATTACAGGCCTACATATTTTATTCAGCTGTCGATTTTAATAAATAGTGTTTGTTTAAAGTTTTACAATTACGAATACGTAAATTACAACAGCATAAAACTCCTAAATTAATGTAAATGTTTGTGCACACACGTTTTAAAACATTAACAATGACAAAATCTTAATCCATTCTTTGTTGACACACGCTATATTTCGAATAACTATTCAAATTCAGGATCGTCGATGAAGATTGCTTTTGGCTCAGGTACTTTTTCTAGAATCTGTAAATAAAACTAAAATCCTAAAAAAAAAAGAAAGAAAATGTTTTTGAATAAAATATTATAATTTGCCATATCAGAACAATGATTTCGTCATTGAATTTTATCAGTACAGTGCAAAAGTAAGCGGCTATAACGTTACACCAATATATTGGATTGACTAAAGAGAAATGAAATGAAGGCGCCATACAGTGTTCTATGAGGGAAATTTCGCCCGGTAGGTGGCACTACTCTTATATCGAATTCCGACTGTCAAGGGATCCTTTACGTGCACGCCAATAGTACACGGGGCCTCGGGTTTTCGTCCCATCCGAATGACTAGACAGCTGTCCTTGTCAGGCCCTTTGTCCTGCACAACTAACAAGGGGAAACAACGCTGGAAAATCCCGATGAACTTTCTCGGCCAACATCGGGATCGAACCCGCGACCTCCAGACTAGCTAGTCAGCGTCCTACCCACTTAGCCACCGTGGCTCCCTTTCGATAAAGAGCTATGTTCTTGCTATAATAGTTCAATAATAGGTAATGAAAAAATTAATTTATTTCAGTAAAATTACTTAATATTCTGAGGCAAGTTATCAGTGTAGATTGTTTATTATTGTAGCAACGGTACTTGACAATCAAGACCAAGTCTCGATTATCCATTTTATCATTCATTTTTTAAATCTCACTGGAGTTCTAATCGATTTAAATCTCGGCCATCCGAGTGGGTTGTAAGCTTGTCATATAAATAAATGTCTAAATAATTAATAGTTTATTTTACATATGAAGCCAAAATAAGACCCACAATAGGCAAATAAATTAACTATAACATAATACATCTTTAATTTTTGGTCCAGGATTTTTTAAATAAAAATATTTATGGTTGTGTGTGGAATTATATATTCAACCTTTATTCTGGATGGGATTTAACAGTTCGGATTTTCATCCTCCTAAGTTTACATTACTAGTAATAGAAGACATTTTAAACTATTCTTACCTGTCTTCAGGTATTTGAATACGGTGAGATGTAAAATTAGCAATCTTATTTGCATATTCATGCTTCGATGTTTGATCTATTTTATCTGAGTTATGTGTAAAATCTATATTCATCATAGGAACGGTGGTTGCACCCCTCATCATGATAACATCTGTATGCAGTTCCAGTATCACATTCTTACAAAGAAAAACATATATTGATATTATTTCAAATTGCATAGTGTTATTTGTGGTTTTTTGATAAAAATAGATAGCCACACGTGGAAATACGCCCACACAGCAGCGGTGTCCCGACAGCAGCTTATTCGAAAGGAAAATTTGGAAGTTGACAAAATTTTATAAAGACCCGATAAAAACTGTAGCCTTCACAAGGTTTTGGGCAAGGGGGGTAACTCCCGAACAGAAAGTCGCAGAACGCTGAGAATCGATAGAGTTCGTCCCCTCATGACCACAATGCTCCCCACGAATTTTGAAACAGATACGTTGAAAACTATAGCCCATATCGCATTCACAAGGTTTTCGGAAAAGGGGGCATACCTCTGGAAGATTAGTCGTGGAACGCTGAATATCGTCAGGGTTCGTCCTCTGATCACCACAGTGCGTTGCAGCAAATTGGAAAGAATCCGTTAAAAAGTACCATCGGCACCCTCATCTTATAAATGGCTACGTTATGTAGTTCCAGTGATAAGACTCTTCGTCACGTCCCCCCCCCCTCTTTTTTTTTCTTTTGTTATAATGTAAACAATGTTTGGAGATGCTTGTGTGTAAATAATGACCGCGATCTAAATTTTGTAGAATTAGTCCAAAACTCAACTCTGTAGAGTAACATCCTTTGTCAGGGTGAATAATGTACGTAACTGCTAACATACGATAATTAAAAGGTATAGGGTGGGTCTGTCGTTCAGAGTGGGTCAATAACTCCGGGAGTATACGTATCCTCTGAAAACACTCAGAAATTGATATGAAGACTTCCTGAAAACTTGCTGAAAATTAGACAAGAATCTAACAACGTACAGTAGGTACGGTATCTAAAGTCAGGGGTGATAACTCTTGGACCAATTTTGAGAAAACGCTCACTTTTACCGCAATCTACCACCTATTCCAAAAAATTTGTGTGTGTGTGAGAGAGAGAGAGAGAGATAGAGATCATAGAAGAAGAGGCCTCACCTTTAGGTCTGCTCCTGTTAGGGCCACCAAAAAATCCGTAAATCGGGATAAGAAATCTTTTTGAACTGATTTTTCGTTGACATTAGTCTTCAATACGGCACAAACATTCACCATTTTGTAGCCTATACTGTGTAACTATGTATTAGCCTACATATACGGGTAAAGTATACACGTGTAATATACACCTAGCCAGATAAAAGAGGATTAAACCGAGATCGATCAACAGATAAATACTTGTAATTTGAAACACTCGTAATACATTATTCTGGGGGTATGCATGCATAACGACTCTATAACGTTAAGTTACAAAAGGCAGATGACAATTCACGTTACTGAGCGATGCGAGGCTGAAAATTCATATTACATTATTTTTTCTCGGTTATTCACCATAGAAACAATTGCAGCTATAAAGACTAGTGTAACTCAAATGTTTGTAAAAACGTTTAACAATCGCAACGACAATATGATAATAATGTAACAATTGCCCCATCCCACCCCCGCCAAGCCCCCCCCCCCAACGATTCACTTGTCCTAGGTCACCCAGGGCCCTGTTGCTCGAAATCTTAATTGAAGATAAAAATCCAAATTTTAGTAGACACTTCAATTTTGATTGGCTAAGCACTAAAATCAATCTAATATTATCCAATCAAATTACTAAAATTTGGATTTTATCTTAGTTAAAATTTCGTGAAACAGCCCCCCAGGTCCTAATTAATTTATTACCGGTTTTTAATTTTTGAAATTATCAACCTATTCGTATATCCTATACAGTTACAATAAACTTTATCGTCAAATTGTAATACGTTGTAAAGTTGTAGATTAAAAAAATAAACACGTTAATAATATATGAAAATTAATTCAGCCCGTTCCTGTTCTAAATTATAACCCTTTGATTGTAGATCATATTCTAGGCCCTAGGGGAAATATTTAAAACTGAAACACTCATTTAATAAGTTACCGGCATGCTATATTTTGTCACGCTGGTATCATAAAACAAATTAATCCGTAGTTATGTTTTTTTTTTATTACCCTAGGGGATTAAGGAATCGGCCAGGCGTTAAATTTAATCGAGAGTTTGAAATTGTGCTTCAGTCTTTTTGTGAATATTCCCGAAGTAGCGGAATATTTAGCCTAAATCACGCCAAACCAAAAAATATTTTAAATTGCTCCAACCGATAAAAACCTCAAAAGTGCTAATAAATAAAACATTATGGCATTATGCAAGCTTTTTAATAACATTTTTCAAACAGTTCCACAGCATATGAAATTGTGCTTTTATGGCTGAGTAAAATAGCTGTGGATTATTGTTTAGGTTCAAGACGTGCACACGGTTGCAAAGGGTAAGGAAGAAGTTCTTCGAATGCAAGAAACTGATCACGTGGTAGAAGAACTCTTCAAATTTAGAAACCAAAATTGTCTCATTTCCGCCATTTTCAAAACAATGAATTTCTTGTCTTGACATGTAAACATAACAATTTGTATTAGTATTCGGGCATAAATATCCATTAAGCCAGGCTAAAACATACAAATTGAGGACACCAACAGCCGTTTTAGGTTCGTTATATCGGTTAATTTTCTCATTTTATGTGTTACATTACAATAAATTAATAAATGCTAAAATGGTTAAATTTATTCCAAGTTCAAGTTGAAGTTTATTCCTCAAAGAGTCAATCCAACTGAACTATGCAAGTTTTTGGGGGGTGGGGAAGGGGGTGTACCACCACTGGTAACTACTTACTGTAAGACTAAGGAGGGTGGGGATGGAGCATGACTTTGCAAGTGGGTGGATTGCAAAGGTTGCTACACCAACCTCATATTAGTTCTGGAGAAATATTTTTGATTTTGTTGTAGGCCTACTTGACTTCTGCTAATTGCCCCTGTACAAAAGTATTCTGGAAATACCACCTGTTTTGAACCATATTTCTCTATGTATTACATGAAACAATTACAAACTATGTAGGCCTACATCATTGCCAATACATTTTTGGTTCATGCTTAAATTGGTAAAATGATGAACCAGTAGATCAGTGATGTCTTACCTTTTTTCATGATGGTGTCAGACAGCTTACTTCAAGTGCTGTCATTTTTCAGGCATTTTCGATTTTAGAGAAATAAAAATACACAATGTACTGGTATATCTTCATTTAATTAAAATCAATACCGGTACTTAAATGTATGTCACAAATGAGTTTGTTGCGTTGGGTGGTCTTGAGTTGAAACCCACTTAAAGGGGGTTAGATGGCGAATGGTTAGCGTGGGTGCGCTGCATCATAAGGTCTTTCATTGAGTCAACTGGCATGGTTTCAATTCCCTATTGTACGAGACGAGGAGTAGGGTCGCTTGTCCAACCTCGTGGGTTTTCTCTGGGTCCTCCTGTTTCCTCCCACTGCTAAAGACCTAGTTACTATACTTGTAACGTTAAACTGTGTGTTTAACATTACAATTGATACAGTCTAAGAATCATTACGCAAGTTCAAATAGGTTCAAACGCCTATTGTCAACACATATCAACACAGTTTGTATTGGAATAAGTAATTCTATGACAAATAGTGAAGATTGGACCACTAAAATAGTTTTTCTTTGTGGTTAAATGCGTTCTACATTTGCATAGCGATGTTCCTTGTCATGACGTATACACAAGCTGCCATAACACCAGCCAGTTGAAATTTCGCGTAGCAGTTGGGTTTCATCAAATCATATAATTATGCGATAAGGCTTCACCATTATTTCAATAGGAATTGATTTATTATATGTTAAGCTAGGTGCAGTACTGTTTTGGGTCAGTTTATGTGTAAATTAAGGGAGCTATAGGCCAGTAACTTTTTTGTAGTGATTTGACTAAAAAACTTGAGCAAAGGAACTCTGTAGGACGAGCCACTACTGTGGCTAGAGTAAGGCGGAAGACATCAGTAGTGGAACCATTTCTACTAAAGACCCCTACACCCAAGTGAATTATTGAAATAAAATTGGACCATTTCTCTCTCTTGAAACCCATTTACTGTGTCTTATAGTTATGAATAAGAATATTTCCAACACCTTTTCAAAAATGGCATACCATTGTTTCTAATTCATAATTCTTTGTTCTTTTCCAGAAATGACGACCAATGCCACCGGTCAAGCTCAGCAGAAATTTACTAATCTGCGTAGGAGGCTTGACCAACTTGGCTATCGTCAACCATTAGGAATAGAATCTTTACCTCTGGTAGAAAAATTATTTGCTGATCTTATTCATACAACAGAAAGTCTAAAAAATGCCAAATTAGAAAATGGAAAAAAACAAGTACAAACACAAGAAGTTGATTCAGCAGTTGAACCATATAAGAGTGATAATGCTAAATTAGTGAAAGAGAACAATGAAATTCATCTTCAGCTTGTTAAACATAAGGAAGATGCTGACAGTTCTATCAGAGGTATTTATGGTGGTCTATTTCTATTTATAGAAACATTCATCCATCTCCGATGATAATATTTGTGTCATTGAAAATAACGAACAAAACCACCAAGATCATTCAGAGTGGAATGATTTGTAACCACCATATCTCAAGCATTAGATTTAAGAAATTATTGGAACGCATGAAAAAATAGTGGTACACCTGGCTAAATATATATGAAAAATATTTGAATTTTGCAAAATAAAAACATGGCAAGTCATAGATGACATACAACCGTGGACACAGGCTAGTCATAGACACATAGAATGACTCAAACTAAATAAAGACAAACTACAAAAACAGAGCCTTGAACTTACTTTATTGCAGTTTTTCGAAATTCATCTTTCATATAGCTGGCTTCTTTAGTGAGAAATTTTCTTAAGTGTGCCGTTCAAAATTTCGCAGCACACTTAGGAAGATCTTGTGTGCTGCAGCACACTGCACTGGTTGAGAATCGCTGGTCTAGTCGGTTTTTCTTTTATCTTTTACGGTTAAATACAGTATTTCATTAAGAAAAATCATAGTTTGGTTGATATTGATGGTATACTTTAGTTACAATTTTTCTTGTTTACGCTAAAAAAAATGACAGTTGGATAAACATTTATAAGATGATTTACAGTAATCTAAAAACAATGAAAGTTAAGATTGATGATAATATTTTTCAGAATTCAAAGCTTTGTTAAGAAAGTATGAACATGAAAATGCTGATCTTAAATTTCTCAACAATCAATATGTACACAAAGTTAAAACATTGGAAAAGGAATCGAAAGAGAAATCTGATCGTATTATTCAACTACAGGAGAAAAACTTTCATGCAGTTGTACAGACTCCAGGTATGCATATCTGTATTTTGTCAAATGGTGTTTTTTTTTTTTAGTGCTCTTGGGGGTTTAATCAGCTTTTATCATAAGTTATGTGTAATTATATTATTACAAGTACATGTAATTGTTTACATTTATATATGAGAGGGAGGGGGGATGGCAACACTCCCTTAAAAGCGTAACAAAGGCTGGACAAGGTCGGTAGATCGATGTAGCTGCATGATCAAAAAGCAAATGAGGGCAGAGAGAGTAGACAAAAATAGATAATTAAAAGATGGCCTTATTTATAGTACTGAGTTCTTGTTTTCAGCTCAGATAGTACTTCTTTATTCAACCACCCAGTCACAATAATTTCAATACATATTTGTTGTGTCAACCCCCTTTTGGTCACATTGATTTCATGATTCAGTAATTTCATGTTTTAGTATATTTTCATTCATTGAGGCAAAAATACATGTATAATTTTAATTTGAAAGCTTAGATTCAGAGTAAATGATTGAATTATTTCTATAAATAACAGTTTAACATGAAAAAATATTTGTTAATTTTGTTTGGTTACTATAAATTTATGTCATTCACAGGCGGAAGAAAGAAAACAATCCCATTCCGTCGACAGAGAATGGAAATTGACACACAGTTACCTCCCTCTGATATTTCCAATATCAGCAGCGTACCTCCGCAAGAAGATCCATATGTTGCCGATTTACTAATGGTGGCTGACAAAAGAATCGCAGATTTAGAACTTGAGATGAAAAATCTGAGTGATCAAAAAGATGTAATGGATAGAAAAGTTCAGAACTTCCGACAACAGGTATGATAAAAAAAAACCTGGGTTTCTCAGACATTTCATTGATGATTTATTGATCGATATTTGTTTTGAATCAGAAAGAGACCATCATTTAATATTTTGAATAAAAGATACTTGCATAACATTTATTGACTAGCGTAGGTGAACAGCTTGAATCTCTGGTGAAAAATAATGTTACTCACAACCTTATTTTGATTGAATTATGGCATTTGAAAGGACGAACATATTTTCTCAAGATATGCCAGGTTCCCAAGATTATGGCATCTAACTGTATTTTATAAAGATTAGTTTTGCAATTGTTGAATAAATTCATTTAAAGTAAACAAATCCATTTCAAATTTTGGTGTTTAAGAATGCTATTGTTTACAAACTGGAATGTCTGAGAATCCTGTTTTAGAATAAAAAGAAATATCTCTAATAAAGGCTCCTAAGCTTTAGAAAGGTTATTTATCTTTTGTAATGTTGTATTCAGAGATGATGGTACTTTCTTTAATTATATTTTAAAAAATATTTATTAAGGGGGAATAACTTCATAATTAGGAATAAGATGATTACAGTTAGTTCTGTATATGTCTTTTCGAAACATTCAGTGGGTCGTAATATGAGCCTGGATGCATTATCAACATTTGAGAATAAAAGGTCATTGGCTAAAACAAGATGGTGATTCCCATGAAATTAATTTAAGAATGCCATTTCAGAAAATCCTTTTAATTGCATTGCCAGTTCAATATCCAACACTCTTATTTTTTTTTATTGTAAAATTTCTCTCTTTATGGGCCATATCTATGTTTTTTTCAATTAATCCTATTTGTCATCATGATTCGTGTTTGTTAAAATGCAAGAATTATGGGATTTATTGTGGGAAGGTGTGCAACTCTTACTTGACTTGGCCAAAGATACTGGATAATCAACCACATAAAAAAAACCCCCTCCCGGTTACGCATGGGCAGTGGAACTTTTCATCAAATATTGACAATGGTCTCAGACCCTCCGTACGTTGAAGACTACGAGGTTCTGGGTGACTGAGACTACTCGAATACCACTGTGTCTGTTTAGGGGTACAACCTTCCGGACACCCAAAACTTCACTAGAACAACACAAATGGGATAAAAACTTCAAAGCTTTTGCTTATTTTATGATTGTCTTTATGTGGATAAGAAAACTAACTAAAATTATCCCACTGCAATATTAAATGATATTTACTCGTACTCAGAGTACATCATAATACAATACACTTACAAAAATAAATATATGTCTACAAACTTATTTTGTACACAGGTATTATAATGTACAATTTTAGATGTTCTTTATTTTCATTACTTCTGTCAATAAGATAAATCATATCAAAAATAGCACCAGCTGTCATAGAAACATCAATGTTAGCATTATTTTCATCACATCGAACAACTTTGGACAGAATGCAATTAAAATTTGTTAACAGGAATAGCATATTTACAGAGGTATTTAAAACAGAATGAATTTAAATTATTACAAGTGCTAGAACAACTTCCTTTCAGAGGTAGTAGGCCACTTATTTTGGTACATTCATGGTCACTTTTGGAGATATTTTTATACACCCACATTTTCATGTGGATGTATTATGCCGTCGCCCGTCCGTCCGTCCACAATTTGTTTGTGGACTCTCTAGAGGTCATAATTCTTATCCGATTTTGATGAAACTTGAAATATAGGTTTATCTCCAAAAGATCTCGGCTGCTTTTGATATTGGCATGTATCGGATCGAAACTTCATGGATTATGGCCCCTGTTTGTACGAAAAAAAAAGATTTTAGCTTGTGGACCCTATAAAGGGTTGAAACTTGAAATGTAAGATTATAACCCAAAGATCTCGGTTCCTTTCGATATTCGCGCATATCGGACCATAACTTCCTGAATTATGGCCCCTGATTGTACGAAAAATCGCGTTTTTAGTTTGTGGACCCTATAGAGGTCATAATTTTTATCCGATTTAAAAAAACGTTTTATTATATCACCGTTAAACCCTAAGGACAGTTGAGTTCGAATTTCGTGAAAATCGGCTCACAATTGACAGACAAAATAGCCGCCGTTTGTTCTCAAATAGCGTAAAAATATGGTATATCAAGGTTGTGGACCCTATAGAGGTCACAATTTTTATCCGATTTTGTTGAAACTTGAAATGTAAGTTTGTAACCCGAAGATCTCTGTTCCTTTCGATATTCGTGCATATCGTACCGTAACTTCCTGAATTATGGCCCCTGATTGTACGAAAAATCGCGTTTTTAGCTTGTGGACCCTATAGAGGTCATAATTTTTATCCGATTTAAAAAAACTGTATTATTATATCACTGTTACACCCTAAGGACAACTGAATTCGAATTTCATGAAAATCAACCCAAAATTGACAGACAAAACGGCCACCGTTCGTTCTCAAATAGCGTAAAAAAATAGAATATCAAAATTGTGGACCCTATAGAGATCACAATTTTTATCCGATTTTGTTGAAACTTGAAATGTAAGTTTATAACACAAAGATCTCAGTTCCTTTCGATATTCGCGCATATTGTTATTGAATTGTAATTTCCTGAATTATGGCCCTTGATAGTAGGAAAAATCACTTTCTTGTTAGCTTGTTCTCTATCCATTTCTCGAAAATGTGGGTGTATCCTGCCTGGCAGCCGCTGGTTTAAAAAATTAAGGAATCTTTTGCAGAGTTGGACATCAACGTTACATAAAAAATGTGTAAGGTTGCTGCGTGTACAGGAGTACAGTTTGTATAGATGTCTTATTGATTTTCTTCATGCAAAATAGAAATTTTCACTGCTATTGAAAGACAAGTCCCACAATTGACAACCGTACGGAGGCATACAAAAAGTTTTAAACAGCTTATAACGGATATCAGAATGAACATGTTTGAAACTAGAAAACATTATGTTGAACCTGGTTTAAAACTTAGTTATACTTCATCATATTTGTTAAGAACATGAATATAGTTACCTAAATGTAATTCTAAACGTGATATTTCTATAACTTGGTTATTGAACAGTATACTCTTGATTTTAACATCTTTGTTATTTGAGCTGAATATAACAAATAATAGATATATCGCAGAAGATGAAAGAATTATTATAAATAGTTAGTACAAAATTCATTGATGACCAACAATAGATATATCGCAGAAGATGACCAAATAATAGATATATCGCAGAAGATGAAAGAATTATTATAAATAGTTGGTACAACATTCATTGATGACTAACTAAAGGGAAATAACTAGTGCACATCTTAGCTGGAATAAGGCTACTACTTGTAATTTTTTTTCCCCACAGACTTCAGTGATAATTTTATGTGATATTCTAGTGGGTAACTTTATTGGGGGGACATTCTGAGGAGTCTAGCAGCAAAGAGCTTAACCTAATAAAAGATGTTGCAGTTTTTATATATGCCCACATTTAATGTTCATGGGTATTGTTGTCATCTATGTCAACCATCCATTGGTCCATAAGGTCTGTCATTGAGTCATTTGGCGTGGTTTTGATTCTCCGGTTGTACATGACAAGGAGTAGGGTCGCCTGTCTAACCTCATGGGGTTTTCTCCAGGCCCTCTGGTTTCCTCCCACTGCTAAAGACCCCTACGCGCAAGCGAATTATTGAAATAAAATTGAACCATGTGTTATTCCCGAAATGACCTAGTTTGAGTTGAGTGGACGTTATACCCCATCTCTCTCTCTCTCTCTTTTTTTTTAGACAGAACATATGAATAAAATCTTGAATGCATGTATTTGTTGATGTAGATTCTGACTTGATATTTTAACTCGAAAGTCTGAATTTGTGCCTTATTTATTTTTAGGCTTGTTACTTACATTTTAATTTTGTTCCAATTCACCCTGTGATTACAATTCATTGTCTTATTTCAATTCGTAGTGTATTTAAATTCCAGTACATTTAAGAAATCATCTTGCTCTAGAATTAAATATTGATGGCTTGGACAATCTCGATCATAGAGATAAGTTTAACCTTCATTTATCTCTGGGAAATCTCGCCGGCCATTTTGAATGTCACATGATTTATCCTTCTGTCGGTTGCTTCCCAAAGATCCAAGATGGTGGCTCAAACTCATGTTTCTTTAGAAATTTCAGTATTTAGCCGAATCACTCACATTGTACGCTAAAAATAGTTCCCGGTAAACCATCAAATCGGCTGTTTTTGAATGAACTTTTGATGTCAAGATGTGGAAAATGTTCCAAGGATCATTAATATGTAATGAATCGATGTCTAATTGTCGAGAAATCAGCAGCATTTCATTCTAACAAATCCTGCCAATCAGTAGCCACAAGGGGCGGAGCTTAGGAACCGGTTTCACACTGATTAATAGCCAGTGAGTTTTATCAAAAATAAACAAAGGGTAAAGTTATCTCTAGGATGGAGATTGGGATTTGGATGCATTTATGTATGCTTATAAACTGTTCATGTTAATGTTGTAACAACTCCCTAATTTTACACCCTCAAGTGTTTCTGAGTGATATGTGAGTTTGGAGAATGTGAGGGAGGGTGTCAATACATATTATATGATATTTAGAATAGATAAAGGACTAGCCGTTTTTGCTATAATAGTTCAAACATAGATAATGAAAAATAAATATATTGAAAATTTCAGTCATATTATGTTTATTCTGATCGAAGTTATAAATATTTCTAGGCCAACACTTGAAATTGAACCCAAGGACCTCCTGTTTAATGAATGACCGTCCTTGCTGCACCACTGACAAGGGGCAAATTGTGTTGACAAATTCGGCAGGTCTTTCTTGGCCAACACCAGGATCAAACACAGGATCTCCTGGTTAGCCAGCCAGCTCCTTACTCACTGAGCCACCGTGGCTCCCCCTGCTAAATGTAAATTTAATTATATTGTTCATTTAGTGATAGGAATAACACAAACACAACTTTATGGATAACAATCACAAGCAACTTTAATAGTGCAATGTTTCTTGTCGTTATCAAGCACAATAAACTAAAAACTGGGAGTAAGCATTTGAGTATAAAAATGTAGAAGAAGCCACAAAGACAAGAATTCATATTCTGTTTGAACATATAAAAGATGAAAGACTAAGTGGAGTTATGATTTACAAGCTAGACATTAACAAAACTTACCATTAGATTTAATCATCTACTGGTTCATTAGACATTACAACCATAATGTCTGTGAGATTTCCATTTAAAAACTTCTTTTTTGCTCCAGTCATCTACTATCTAGCTCAAATAAATCTTATTAGAAATTTCATACTGGATTAAAAATAAAGTAAGGAATCTTTTAAAGCAATATGTTTTATTTGTAAACCTGAATTAGTATTGATGTACAATGACATAGGTGTATATAGCAAATAAATGTGATATTTGACTTCATGCATTTGTTTGCTGCCTCTCCCTTGAATCCCAACCACTAATACTTCTATGTAGAAGTTTGTGTTGAGTGGACATTAAACTCTCTCTCTCTCTCTCTCTCTCTCTCTCTCTTTTCTATATAGAAGGATAATTTTACAACTTTATATGTCTAATTATGCACAGAAGTTTTGTTTAGTACCTGTTTGTATTTTTAAAAAAAAAGTGATTTAGAACAATTTATATTCAGGTACATGTGATTTTTCAAACTTATCAAATTTAAATTCTTTACAACACAAGTACTTTAATAATGGTATTGTATAATTTAATTTAGTGTATATCTAAAGGAGATATATATGTTATTGTATAGTTGACATTCCAGGGTAGACTACTTATGTTTGATCACTGATTAATCTCATATATATGAAGGCTTTTATATGTTGGGATTGTCGTGGTTACTAAGCAAACGAGTCCTTGACAACCAGCCAGTCGTGTCACTGAATTAATTACTTTTATTAGCCATAAAGCAATTTAGTAAATCTTTATTCTTGTCTTCATCTTTATCAACTTTAATATTGCTAAAAGCAAGATTATTAAATTAATCCTAAGTACTTTAATCTTATGTTATGTTTTTTAAAAATTTGCAGTTGGTGTTAAACAAAAAATTAAATAAAGCATAATTAATTTGATTTGTAATTTCTGTCTACTGTACAATTTGACATTTTAATGAAAAATTTTGAAATTGAAGTTAAATTGTTATATATATGAATAAATATTATAGAATTTTGGGGGAACTACAAAACTATTTCTGTGCTTATCGAAGCATAAAGTCTGAGTGATTTATTTAAACACTTAAATGTAAATCTTCTTAAATTTTCGACTCAAACAGATGGATATAAGAGAAGTTGTGTGTATATAATTTTGCATGTGTTGAGAGTAATTGATAGTAAAGCGTGTTTGAGCGTGAAAGACTATTGATTTGACGTCTGTAAAGAAAAGGGCGGGAAGCTCAAGTGGGACAGGTTAAGTTAGCTCTATTGACAATCAAGTCTTGGCCTGTTGTATTACCTGTTAGAAGGCAGACATTTTCTCTTGTCGTAATTTAAACCTTAATATTACATAAATACAACATCTATACTTTATATGTAAGTTAATCTTTTATATTTTGATATTGTTTTAATTGTGTTTTTGATAAATTAGCAAACCTCGGCTGATTAGATTTGATTGATATTTTCGTACATATTTATTGATTTATTGATTAGTGTGTGTAGGTGACATTGTTTACAGTTTTTGATGCACAGAAACAAAAATCATAAATGATACCAATAATTCTGTATTTGATAAATGGTCATAAATTCGATCAGATTACATTCATGGAATTGAATAGGAGTAAAGTGTGCATATTCACTATTGAATGTTTTATCATTGAAAGGACATTCATTATCAATATCCATACCATGAATTGAACAATTATATGGAAATCTTAGGCTTTGTTAATTCATAATGTAAGTTTTCTAAGAATTAAAATTAAATGATAATGCCACTAATTTAAAAAAAACGGTGAAATCAGAATGATTTAATCAATTTATAATCTGTTAATTGGATTATACATGTATTTAATCCTAATTGGTATATTGTAATTTAAAGATTATATAGATGCAGTTTGATCAGATATTTTACCACTTTAAAAACATTTGCTTTAAATCACCATGATTGATTAAGTTGCATGATTTAAAATTTACTTTGATATCAACGACCTCTGTGGTCAGTCTATCTTTTATCTTGCCTAAAGCGTTAAATATTCATAAATTTTTAATTCCTTCCTAAACAATGATATTGGATGTTTTGGTGTTAAATATTTAAAGTAACAACTTGCAGGAATTAAATATCTTTGAAATAAAATTTGATTGAGAAAAATATTGGACTTGAATAATCACCAGTTAGAACACTGACCTTGTTAGATAACAATATTACTGCACACCATTGTTGTATATCGGTATATCTATTAGAAATGTATTTCACAGTGATATGCAGCAAAATGTAATATTTATGTAAAAGAATTGTTAGTGTTCTAAAATATTGTCCAAATTTCTTAAAGATACATTAGTTAAGAGCTAAATATGCCTATTGCAAGTCTTTCTTTAGGCTTCAAATGTTACAGAAATTATTAATTAGACCTTTGTTTACATAACAAGCCCAAGATCAACTCTGTAGACCCTATGATGGCTTGGAAACAGCTTGGATTTAAACAGTCATCCATTTCATAATTAAATCAATAAATGGCTGACCAAGCTAACATGTATCCTTAATCACTGACGTCACTCCCGGAGACTGCCGATGAAAGGACTGATAATCGAGGGTACCTTAGACATTGAGAATAATTACTTGATAATCGAGAATGTGGGAGGAGTTATCATCTGTCAATCAAACAATCAGCAATTCTTGGAGACAGTGCGGTGACAGTTGATGCCTATTTATAGTCCAAACTTCCAACAGTAATTACTTCGTTCAGAATAAAGTAATTTTCAACATTTTATTTTTTTATCATCTATTTATGAGCTGTTATATCAAGAATGGCTGTCTGTCTGTTAAAATCTTAACTAATGTATCTTTAATAAAACTGGTCTTGTGGAAAACATTTAAATAGCTTGCTGTATGAAACTGGACTAGCTATAAAAAGTTTGCACTTTCTTGTAAAAGTTAGAATTGCATATTGTGTGTACAGATAATCACTTTATTTACTATGGCTACTTTTCAACATTTCAGACAAAATATTCTAGTAATTGGTAAGATAGTACAATCAGTATGAATTTTTGATTCATTAAAACACGTTGGTTATAAAACCCTAAAAAAAATATCTTGTCAACAAATTCCCACAAAAAAAGGTGGATGAGATAATCTTCTTGATTTATCAAAATGTCAAAAACGGTGAAAACTGTGACAACAAAGCGTCGTCTGGTTAAGAAAAATGTGCAGGTATAGTATGACAATGTAATACACTTAGTGTTAGTATACTTGTAATCTAGTATCGTAGAATAGTTCAATGTTAATGTTACGCTGTTTATTTTAAAGACACAACAAGTCAGATTGTTCAAAAATTTCTATAGACTGAAAATTGATTTATTATGTAATTAAGTACATCTGAGTATTAAAAAAACTTAGTGCAGCATGGGCTGGTTTATTTGAACAAAATTATTTATTATTATTTATTTGTCTAACATACATACAGATGGTTGAGTGAAATCAATAGAAACCAATGTTATCACACCATTGGTTTGAATTGATCGATTTGATTATATTTTGAACCAAAATATTTTTTAATGTGTACTATTTCTTTTGATTTGATTTAACCTTTATTCTGGCATGTTGGGGCTTTAATTTTAAGCAACATTTATGTTCAAAAGCTTCAAAGATATTGAAAATATAAAAATAACAAATAAATGATTTGTTCAATATTTTTTAATTGTTTTCGGGTTCCTATCTTTAACTATGTATATAAGAAGCATACTTATGGAATGGCTTAATTAATCTATAGCTTTTTATTAATTTTGATTCAGTATATATATATATGGGCTCTGTTTTGTTAGTATCCTTAATATATTTAACTAAGTGTTGCAACAAGTGAAGTAAGAGGAAAAGATAAAACTAATTCTTTACAACAAAAAACATGAAGACTGGGAAGTTTCATGGACCTCTTAAACATACATTATGCAAGAGCTAAATTTGTCTATTGCAAGTCTTTCTTTACGCCTGAAATGTTATCTAAATTAGTAAAGATACATTATGGGAGATATTTATAGAGAGTTGGCCATTCTTGCTATAACAGTTCAAAAGTAGATGATGAAAGAAGAATATATTGAAAAATTCAGTCAAATTACTTTATTCTGAACATAGTTATCATCGTTGTAATATTTGCCTAGAAATGGTAGCAAAATGTGTCTTCACCTTCGCCGAACGTTTGATTGACAGGCGTTAACTCCACCTACATATCTTGATTATCAAGTAAAGTTTTCAATGGCATACTGAAAAGCTTTACAGCGGCCTCACTAAGTACACTCTATCATTTAGCCTCGATCTAACTGACGTATTTTCATCAGGTTACCCCTTATCTGATTTAATCAATTAGTGAAATCCTATTTAAATCCGAGCTGTAGCCGAGCCATCCGTGGGTCTACAGAGTTGATTTTGGTCTTGTTGTTTAAATAAAGATCTAATTTATAATTTCTATAACATCTGAAGCCTAAATTAAGACTTGCAATAATCAGATTTAGCTCTTGCATAATGCATGTTTAATTAGACATTAATTTTAAACTTGACAAGAACATAGTCAACTGTCGATGCCATTGGATATCTCTGATATCAAGTAGATTAGAACAGTTCAGCCATATTTTGAATTAATTTAAAAATAGAGAAGTGAGGCTTAGCTTCAAACAACCAGTAATGCCATTAATGCACACATGTGTCAAACCTTTAAAAGCTAATATCTTTGCACGCAATAGAGGAATTTGAATGAAATTTTTCAAAATGTTTATTTTGCATTATCTATTTTCTAACTATTATAGTAAGAAAATTCAGCTCTTTCTAAATCTTACATAATGTAATGTATCTTTAATACTTTTAGTGTGTTGGATTGTTTGTGGTGCCAATCTCTCTCCTAGTATGAATTATTTTGAAAAATCCAATCACTATCTAATTTTTTTATGACTCATTATGCAAATATATGAATGTTTTATTGATATTGCAAACAGAGGAGAAATAAAATGGATGGGTCTATGCTTGTTATCTCATGGTGTCCTATTAAAACAGTATGAATCAAAGAGTTGATTGCATGTCATATCTGAGATTTATTTGTTTAACTAAACTGTAGGCTGATTAAACAGATTAGCCTAAAGGTTACTATCAACATCTCACGTAATCCTATCACTAATTAATGTCTGGTAATTACATACTATTTATACCGATCACCTACTAATTGCTGATAAGATTAAGGTTACTAGTATAATTAATTGTAAATCCATTGTTAGTTAAAGTTTGATTAGTCAGATTTACCTAATGCCTGGTCTAGTTACGGCTGTTCTTTAATCGTATTGTGATCATGTCAAATTGTTTGTGTTCATTGCCATCACAAATGGAATGCCTTATATTACATGCAGACTGGGTTGATCACACAAACTAGTTCTGCTACTGTATGGAGACAACATCATTGATTCTAGCCTAGTAGTAGTAGTAGTAGTGGAAATCGTATGGTAGTTTGGAATAATAGTAGGACATTTATTTGTGGTGGTAGACTTTGCTGTCTGCTGCTGTCACCAGTTCAGCCGGTGTGTAGTAGTTTCAGTAAACATGTATAAGATTGCTCGAGGATCGCAAACTATAAAGGAATATAAGCCTAAAGTTAAAGCTCATGTAAGTGTTTTTTTTTTTATTGTTGGATATTTTTGGTCACCATAATACAATTGTGTGTAGATATGTGTAATGGCTGTATGCAGTGATGAACAGACTGATTCATTGTATCAATACCATGATCTATACAAGGACAGTCAGATCTATATGATCATGATATAATATATTGATTTCTGAGATCATTGCAACTGGAGCAATGCTAGGGTGACAAATATGACCTGTCTTCCAGTTAGAAATATCAATAGTTTTAATATGACATCATCTTCAGTAGTCATTCTATAATTTCTGATTCTCATAAATAAAATAACATTTTCTTCTCTTAAATATAAGTTATATCACAAGGGTTCAAATTCCTTTTGTTTCAAATTTCTAATTTTGACAAACATAATATCTTATTTTGAACAAATGTTTATTTAAAGGTGTATTATGTAAGAGCTATATGAACCGTTTACAGGGTTTTATTTTCGTTTCGAATGATATATAAATTATTCTTTAGACATTTATTCACATGACAAGCCTATAATCAACTCTTTAGCTCATTGGATGGCGGAGATGTAAACAGATTGAAATACTATTGCCATTTAATGATTTAATTTAATAATGGAGAAGCGAGGCTGAGTCTCGATTATCGAGTAATGTTGCTGCGATTATAAACAATCTAAGTCAAAACTTCAAACAGTGATAAAATCGCTCAGAATAAAGTAATTTGAATGAAATTTTCAGTATATTCATTTTGTATTATCTATTTTAGACCTATTATAGCAAGAACAGCCAACTCTTTATTAAATCTTACATAATGCATCTCTAAAGCTATGTATGTAATAGATGTAATTATATTTGTTAAATCTTTGATCTCACTGGCGTTATATATATCTAGCTCGTTCATAATATAAATAACCAACGATTTGATTGACAGCCAATTGAACAACATTTGATTGAACAAGGTGAATGACTTGATTAAATTGAATTTTAGAACTAATTGTCAAGAGAAATATCGCTACTAATTCAAAGTGAAAACATATATAAGTTTTCAATATGTGAGATTGTAATATATTTACGATGTTCACAGGGCCTTATCTCTTTAACTCGCATACAAAGCCACCCAACTTATTAAAAATAAATATTGAGTGCTGATATTGACTTTGGCAAAGTACACCTTACTTCATTCATGTCTGAACCCAACACTGCGTGTATTCCTCCTATAATAGTTATATAGTAAAACTTGTCTCCAAAATTTGGCACAGGATCAGAATTTGTAAAAAATGTCAAATGAACAAATCAATTTTAAGTCTGTTAGATTATGCTCATAATTTGTTGTGTCTGACATTTTAGATCAACTTAGAATCCTGCTATTCTGATAATTTGTCATACTTCCAATGATCGTGACTCATTTAAACATACATTATACAAGAGCTAAAAATGTCTATTGCAGGTCTTTCTTTAGGCCTGAAATGTTATATAAACTATTAATTAGACATTTATTAACACGAAAAGACCATAATTAACTCTCGATGCCATGTTATGTGTCCGATTTTCTTTGGATTTGAATCCGATCTGATGATTAAACGCAAAAATGGATGTCCTAACAATGACAATCAAGGCTACAGTGATTTTTAAAATAAGGCTTTCTCGGCTTAAAGTGAAGCAAAGTGACTGAAATTTTTAGCATATTTCCTTTACATTATCTAGTTTTTAACTATTATAGTGAGAACTGCCAACTTGTTATCGAATCTCCCATAATGTATGTTTAATTGAATGATACTTGAATGACCAATAGATTAGAATAGAAATCAGACTAAAGATAATTAAAACATAGTAGTGATTATATAAGATAAAGGTCTATAGTATTTATAAAAGCTTATTTATTTCTCATAAAATTCTAATTAAACCTTTTGTGTTATTCACTTATTGATTTAAAAAATATTTAAAATCCCGAATGAATCAAATAAGACTTAGTCTCATAGAACTAGATAAATTCTATATAGATTGTTAGCTGTTGAAATTGATTTATTTTGGGAATGTCAATTTATCTATGGTGGGGCCTTTAACTTAAAAGTTTAATACAAATTACAGCTAGGTTTCAGGTCAGTGGAATTATTAGTTTTAGTAAGAGATTTCTCTTGTGACATTAAATAAATGTTGAAAAATTTCCTTTGTGTGGCCTTTAAAGCAGATTGAATGGTGCTATGGCCTTTAAGATAAATTAAAGCTATGTTTAAGCTTAATCAGTTTGACATGTATGTAATAAGTGAAGTGTATGACAAACAATTACCTACTAATAGACTTACCTGTTAAAAACAGGTGATATGTTAAGACTTGTTTCCATATAGCCATCTTGATATAAGGTAAAACTATAAGGAGGTAAGAAATAGTTTACTTATTATTATACAAAGTTCCGTTTATTTTTCTTTTATTCATGGATATTAAAGGAGCTATAAGATTCTTTGATTTAGGTTCAGTAAGGTATTGAATTGAGTTGATCTGATGATTTATTTCCATGAGTTAGGCAGCAAGGTGTTAACAATTTAATTGTGTATATTGAGAATAATTTAGCATACCCAATCAAAAAAAAATTACTGTAACATAACAAGTAGAAGAGATTTAAGAGAATTTTGCCACTTTATGATTAAAATCATTTTAATCCTATAGACCACTGTATTTAGTTCTTAATATGGAATGTACAATATTGTCGTGTGAGATTAGTAGTAGTCTGTTTTAAGATGGCTGACTGTATTAGCATGGTTCTTAAGAGATTTACTGGACAACAATAGTGATTTTGTGCATGGGTGGGGGTCAGCTGTCAATGGAAGGTCTTTAGAAGATTATGGCTAAAGTGTAGCTCTATCGACCCTCTGAATGCCATTTCACACTCCATATACACGGCTATTGTGTTTTATTATGATTGGTTAGTATAAGCATATTGTTGTTATACAATAGAAACAGTATTTTACCTGATCTCTTATATATTAACACACAAGACACACGAGTAATGTTAACTGGGCAAGGAAATAGAGCACAGGTGTCACAAGTTTCTGAATTCTTCACAATATACACCTACTCTATAGATAGGTAATTCTCTTCTTAATGTTTTTAAAATGATATCGGATTTTATTATCTGTATTAAAATAACATTTATTACTATTTGTTTATTGAACAAGTCAAAAGTAAAGGTGAGAACTAAGCTATGAAAGGATCACAAATAACAAAGACATAAATCAAAACATTCACTTTGTTCAATTCCATTAATTAGTGATATATTTTCTCAGCGTATAATATTGTCAAATAATTATATGATTGAATTTTTTTATTATTAAACAGTTCATTTACACTATTTATATTTCCCATTGGAGTAGCTAATACAGAATATTTTATTGTTTGAAAAATACTCTGATATTTTAATTATGTTAATACTTTATTGCAAAAGGACCGCCTAACAAAAATTCTGGATCAAATACATTCCACAGTAACGATTCTAGTTGTCAGTTTGTAATCTTTAGACTAATGCTATATATCTATTAGGTACCAAACCAACCATCCAATAACTGAAATTAAACATTGGTTAACATCACGAGAGATGATAGTAATAGTGACTGTAAGAATATATATATAGTGGGTTGTATAAAGACATTCAAATGTTAAGATGACCTGCTTGCTAGTTAAATTTAGCTTCAAAATTTGCATTAAACTGAGACTGTGGTGTGAATGGAGGCCATAATGTCATCATTGGTGTTTGTAACTTATGCTTCTAAAATTGAAATAAAAAATAACCCACCTGCATTTTATATATCATGCAAAATAACCATAAATATTTTAGTTCTGTAATAGCTTGTAAACATGTTTAGTGCCTGTAAATATGTATTATGGCATTATGCTCTTTGAAATCAGCTTTAGTGATTTTACTAGGTTTGCAGTTTTTTGAGTAGGCTACGGTACTTAAAGGGTCAAAGGCAAATACATTGCAGAATACTTCATTATATGAAGATATGTCACTGCTGATGCTGTCATTAGATGTAGTGATAAATACCTTTGATATCACCGCTATTGTTTGATCAATGAATCAATTATTAATATTGATTATATGATTATTATCAATATGTTTAACATCTCCTGGTCATTAAAAACTCTCCACCATTTGTAATAGATCTAACAACTCTCTTTCTTCTTCATCATTCTATTGAAAATCATCCTTCCAAAACTCTTCCATAATTCATCACTCAGTTCCTTAATTAATTATCAATGAACAGCAATTTCTCAGTTTATTAATAAAACGCATGACGTCTATTAGTGATTGATGGCAATGTCAATTTCTCTCTGCTCACATATCAATAATGTGTGTTACTACATGTTTTTGATAACAGATAAAATAAAAGACTGACCAATATATTTATTGATTTGTTAGGTAGAAACACAATGGTGAAGATCATTCAGTTGTTTATACTATATTAATATTTAATAAATTCTTGTTCTCACAATAGGGTAATCGATCAATTTTTTTTTTAATCAAAAATATTTTAGTATTATATTATGCTTTGCATGTTATTTAACTGATTTTGTGTATTTCTTTATTCCTGTATTTTATTATTGTGAATTGTTTCTGAAAGTATATAATCAACGTTCTATTTTAAATAAGATAATACCTGGTACATAGAACAAGATAGAGAGAGCAATCAACTATTATTAAAACTTCCACGGTCTATTAAACTTCCCCTTAAAAAACACAAAAGTCCAATCATATCAGCCAATCAAGTGAATAAACATAATTCTCTTTACATTATCAATATTTATCAATCAATATCTGTATTGTCCTTGACCATTGGTTAGCCTTTTACAAGTTGTTCCTTTATAATTCACTTCTATTTGTTTGTTTCATCTAATAAATCCATTTACTACTTTTATTTTATTCTATTTTATTATAATTTGAAAATGTTCTTTAGATATTTTTAAGAGAAAGACCATCATCTTCTGATATTATTTATAAAAAATGCATATGATATACCAGTATTTGATCAAATAATAATAGATTTTATTTATAGCATTCCAAAATATTACAGATCATTAACTTTGAACAATATTTGAGTTTTATGGATACATATGTGCACATTAGTTAATATAAAATTAAGATTTTGTTTATGTTTTTGTAGGTTGAAGGAAGGGATGCAGAAATAGACAGAATGTCTAAGATGTTAGAAGGAGGACGACCGAACAATGTTGTGGCCCTCGAGGCTCGCAACCGGTCAAATGAAAGAATGATCAACCATCTTAATATTCAGGTAATAACTGAATACTCTTGTCATTTCATAGTAAGTTTGTGGGGAACACTTTTGGCCTGCTGTCAAAGTTCGAAGACCAAAAACAGAGCCCGATGGATACATACTCTTTAAACATGGTCCATACACAGATGTAACAACATCCCCATCTCTCAATGCTGATATTGAGTCAACTGGTGTTGTTTCGATTCCCCGGTTGTACGTGACAAGGAGTAAGGTTGTCTTATTGAAGTAAACGAATTATTGAAATAAAATTGAACCATGTGTTTGTCCAGAAATGACCTGGTTTGTGTTGAATGGACGTTAACCCCATTTCTCTCTCTCTCTCTCTCTTTCCAAGAAATCATTTTTTTTAAATAAACATGATGAATTATCTCCCCTTATGGTTTTTAGATTGACATGCTGCAGCAGAAATATAGAGAAGCTGAGAGGAAATACCAAGATTCAATGATATCTAAAGATGATACAGATCTTAAGATGGCTAAACTTCAGGCCAGAAACAGAGAATTAGAACTGGAACTTAAAGATGTTGATAGAATGGCTAAACGCTTGCAGACGGACAAAGAGTTTGTGGTTAAAACTGCTGATAGAGAAATGGAAGAGGCCAAGGTAGGAAAGATATGATGACGCTTGAGATTTTGTTCTCAATATCAGTAGTTATACCATAGAATAATCTGAATATATCTAGATGTTATTGTCTTTCCCTTTATTTGTTTCGTCACTCTGCAGACATGTTGAAGTTGAACATGTTATTGATCTGTGATTAAAATGATCAAATTATCTGTTGTGTGCACGTTTGCTTTATAAAATTTCACTTGTGATCAGTTATTTTCATGAAGGACACATAAAATACAGCATTAAATGAACAATACCATGAATTGCACAAAATGTTTTTTGATTTCGTTTGCACTATGTACAATAGCTATCAAGTTATCGCTTAGCATTCAATATTTATTTTTGCTTTTACATTGATTTTGTTTTGCATGGCCATTTCCAATCGCTTCCAATATGATTTGTTTATTTTGAATACAGGATGAGCTAGAGAAATCTAGAATAGAATTAGAAGGCATGGATATGACAGTCTCACAATTTAAATCTGTAAGTTGGTTTTGTTGCCGCAGCTATTTGATTTTATTAATTTATTACTGTATCATGGCAACATAGTTCTGATGATTCTGAGGAATTAGGCTACCTGAGAAAATTAAAACACTTTTTTTTTTTAAAGTGATGGAATTTCAATTAGTTAGGCAATGTAATAAATAAGAGAAAACTAGCTTTAAAAAAGAATTGCAGCCATGGTAACATATCTTTTTCAAAAATAATATGAAAAAATTAGGTACATCACCACATTTGCAGGATTTTAAACATATATCTGTCACAGAATCTTTGAAAGGGGTAGCCCCACCCCTTAAAGCTCAATAATTGATGATGGTAGTTTCACCATAGAACTAGATTTTATTTGTATTTAAGTCAACTGGCGTGGTTTCGATTCCCAGGTTGTACGTGACAAGGAGTAGCGTTTTCTCCGGGTCCTCCAGTTTCCTCCCAATGCTAAAGACCCCTATGCGCAAGCGAATTATTGAAATAAAATTGAACCATATGTTAGTTATGAAACAACCTAGTTTGTGTCGAGTGGATGTTAAACCCATTTGTCTCTATATGAAATATTGTTGGATATTGTATATTCCAGGAGAGTAATTATCTAGTTTGTGTCGAGTGGATGTTAACCCCATTTGTCTCTATATGAAATATTGTTGGATATTGTATATTCCAGGAGAGTAATTATCTAGTTTGTGTTGAGTGGATGTTAACCCCATTTGTCTCTATATGAAATATTGTTGGATATTGTATATTCCAGGAGAGTAATTATCTAGTTTGTGTTGAGTGGATGTTAAACTCCATTTCTCTCTATATATGAGATATTACTGATGACTATATATTGTTGTTTATTTCAGGAGAGAAATAGAATGATGAAGGAAATTAGTGAATTAAAGGCTAGAATTGGTTCTACAGATGTTAGTAGTCACAATCTTGAAATGTTAGTTGATAAATTACAGGAAGAGAAGAGACGTTTAACTCAAAGAAATAATAAACTTATTTCTAATGGTAAATATTATTGAATATTACACAACTTACTATGGTATCACAAACAGATCTCAAACAGATCAGAAAACGATCACAAACAGATCACAAACAGATCACAAACAGATCTCAAACAGATCAGAAAACGATCACAAACAGATCAGAAACAGATCACAAACAGATCAGAAACAGATCTCAAACAGATCACAAACAGATCACAAACAGATAGATTGTAATAATAATAATAATGTATATTTGTAAAGGGCCAATCCAGCCACAAATGCATACTCTCGGCGCATACTATATACTCTATTCTATGGTCACTATTTACACACATATTTCGATCCATTCTAGTTGAAATGCACTGGTAAATAGATGAGTTTTTAGTTTTGTTTTAAAAGATTCAAGTGATGGAGCTGTTTTAAGCGGATGGGGTAAAAAATTGTAACATTTTGTTTGACTGCAGTCCCTAAATGGGTTGAGATATTACTGTTTTAATAAAAAACAAAGAACAGTATCTTAGAACAAACCAACTACTGTTGAGATTTAGAACACATTCTTGGCCTTAAAGAAGCGTAATCACTCTCATCAAATATTTTTGAATAATATCCAAATAAACATAGACTCGCAATTTTTGTATCAACCATCAATGAATCTTGAAATTAAAAAAAAAAGATCTTTCTCGTTCTCTACTCCTCTCTTATGGAATTCACTGCCTTACAACATTAGAAACTTTGACTCCTAGCACTAACCTACAAAGAATAAAATATTTTTCAGGTATATATGCGTTAAACTCCCTGAAAACTACCGTAAGACTCACAAATTGGAATTTAAGACCTACCAAGTGGTATCACCTCATAATTGTTTGTCTATTTTTTTCAGAAAAAGAATTAGTTTTAGAAATCGAGAGGTTAAAGAGGAAGAATGGTCCAACTAAGAAGAGTAAAACACCGAGTAAATTAGATGCGTTTATTCATAGTATAGAAGAGGAACGTGATTATTATCGGGATCAGGCTGATACATTACAACGTCTCTTACGTACGGATGGACCTGGAACACGTGGTAAAAGTCCTATTCGCTCCCGTCCATCTTCTAGAGCTGGTAGTCCGGCCAGAGATCTATCACCTTCCAAGAGAGATGGAAAGGTCAGTAAAGTTTGAGTTCTTATTGAAATATTAGTCAAAATGTGGCAAGTCCTTTGCTTGTAAAGGCCTGTGCATTGTTTTTGTGTTTTAAACATTCAAACATAAGAAGGTTTGTTAAAGAGGCATCGTCAACTCTCTCTCAAATTTATTTTAAAACTTACCTAATTGTTGTAAATAAAAGTAATCGCCTACTCAGAGTTCAGAACAGTAATTTTAACAAGCTTTCATAAAAATTTATTGAAAACCACTGAAAAAGTTTTTTTGACAAGTCATATATTGATAGTTAAAATGCCTGCATCTTAGCAATGACTTAACAGAATTGTGTCAGACTTTGCATAAAATCTATGCAACAGTATACCTAGTCAAGTCTAATTAAATCAAAAATTTTTTTTTTTTTTACCAAGTGTTGATGTCTCTTTAAGCTAATATCTGCAATATAAAATAATTAAATCTGATTCAAATACAGATCTATTATTTGTTTCGTTTTTTTATACGTTCGATGGCCTACACTACATGAAGATCTGAACAGTTATACTGGAAAGTCGCGTCAGCGGTCATTCAAGTGGCACAGACATTTGATTAACCAATCAACGCTGATTTTTGTAATAGGATTCCCACAGTTCCATGCATCGCACGCCAAAAACTCACTGTAATAGACAGTTTCATTAGCTAATCCCTCACATCATCCAGAAAGCAGGTTATATAACAACTCTTCCAGATCCTAGTGTAGTAAAGACAAGTAAAATGAAATTTTGAACTATAAAAAACGAAATGAAATAGGATCTGTGTTTTAATGAGATTGATAATAATTGTTACTGGAGTTGTATGATTATGATTCTGTATTTCAGACATCAGCTTCTGTATCTCAGTATGAAACTATAGTACGAGTTTTAGAAGAAGAAAAAGAATATTATAAGAAAGAATACGAGAGTCTTAAATCATCCAAGAGATCGGGTCGATCATCTCCTACCAAGGTTATTATCATATAATTATTAATTCAGTATTCTTCAAATTATCAGAATTTTAAATTAGAATATTTTCAGGCAATACGAAGCCTATGACCAGCGTGCCCATATCAGTATTGGCTCCCCATAAAGCCGAGTTTATTTTTACAATAAGCTTATTGTCTAACTAGTTTTTTTATGATATTATTTGTAGAATGTAAATGAGGAGTCCGAGATAGGAAGATTAACTAGAGAAAGAGATGAATTAAAGAATTTATTGGATAAATTTGAAAGGCATATGTCTGAGGTAAGAATTAAATTTTTTGTTTTATTTGGTTGCGTGTAACAATTGATTTACCTATTTGATCTATTTGTAAACTGTTTAATTTATAAAGTTAACTGTCTAACTGTGATATAATCATATTAATTATGTATTGTTTTAACACCTGTATAATTAGATATAGGTAATGATAATATACCTTGTTACACCTGATATATGATATAATGATTTATTTATTTATTTACCTATCTTGAAGATCCAGGCCAATGTTAGAGTTTTGACATCTGAACGAGACAAGCTTAACAACATGTATGAAGAGGTAAGTAATACACGGTATTTATACCAGCCAATCATATTCTTACTCTAAATCCAGATCTGCATATCAATACAGGCAATTTGATTGGACTGGGACTTAAAACTAAAAATAGGTTAGATGTCAATGTAGTAGAATATAAAAAAATAAAATGAAACATAAATTTACTTATAATCCCATTGGATGGCTTGTAATACCCCCGTCAAACCGTGGTGACGTCCTTACTGCACTGCTACCGTGATAAAAACGCCAGATATCGTGCTGTGGTCTTCATGGTCACCAGTGATTGCCGAGTCATGTCGTCTGTTTTGAGCATGTTCAAAACAAATGCCAAGGTTTTGCGATCTGACCTGGAAAGCTGTGAGAATGCAGTTTTGTTCAAGTTTGTAATTATTTGGGACATTCTCTTGCATTGTGTTCACGTTTGCCGGTGACCTAGTGTGTTATCTGGGAACCATACTGTCGCAGCAGCGCAGTAAGGACACAACTCGGTGTGACGGGGGTATAGTAGACCATAGAACAGATCTGACAAGTTTAAATTTGAATAAAATTGATTGTATTTTACAGACTAAGGATGAACTAATGAGAGTTCGTAGAGAACTGGTTGCCTCCCCTAAATCTCAGAAGACATCTTTAGCTGCGCAGGCTGTATTACGTCGGGTAGAGAATGAACGAGATGATGCTATAACTGATCTAAGAAGAGTTGTAACAGATAGAGATAGTCTCAGGGAAAGACTCAAGGTAATGGATGTTTAATAGTAATAGTTGTAGTCCTAAAAACACGACGCCATGGCCTACATTTCCTTGATAGGTCCTCAATCCTGAACAGTTAACAAATACAATAAAGACATTCCAAAATGTTATAGTTAATAGTAAAAAAATGTATCAGGAGACAAAGATATCGACAAAACTGCAGTATATGTTCATTTGGACTGTGCAAGAAGCATTACTGTTTAAGAACTGCAAAGGGTTAACTTTCTAAATATATTTGAACAACAAACTCTTTACCAAAAAGTTGGCCGAATGTTTAGCGTGTGCACGTTGTATCATAAGGACTGTCATTGTACGTTACAAGGAGTAGAGTTACCTGTCCAACTTCGTGGGTTTTCTCGGGCTCCTCCGGTTTCCTCCCACTGCTAAAGACCCCTACATGCAAGCGAGTTATTGAAATAAAATTGAACCATATTATGTTTGTCCCGAAATGACCTAGTATGTGTCGAGTAGATGTTAAACCCCATTTCTCTCTCTCTCTGTTTACAAAAAACATGTAACCAGATAGAAACAGGGAAGAGAAACTCACACACAACACACAGACCTTGTAAGTAAGAAATAATGAAGTGAATGAATCTAGGGACCATGAGGGTAATATATTAAAATGTATTTATTGTTTTACTTCAGATTGCCACTGAGACATCATTATCTGATAGAGCTAAACTAGAACAGAAAGTAGAAGATCTAGAATCAACTCTTCATACGGTAACATTTATAGCTTTGTTTATATGAAAACTAAAATAAAATAGAAATATATGTTTAATTTAGTAAATATTTATGAAGAAATAACAGTGTTTGTATCTTGTCAAATTGTACAAATTGACATTTTGAGACTAAAAAACTGTTCCACAACAGTCCTGAACTTGATTGTAACCTTGGTTTGTAATGAAAAATATCTACTTATTTTTAGGTTGAAGCTGAACGTAATGAATTAGCTGCTAGAATGAATACACTAAAAGATGATATCCGAAATCTAGATGAACAATTGAAGAATACAACATTTAGATTAAATGAGGCTTCTGACAGTGCTTCCAAAAATAAATCATCGTCAAACCAAATGAAGTAAGTAACAAACAGTATATTATATTTAGTTGATAAAAACTGCCTAATGTTTTGGCTAGTTGTTTTTTACTACTGAGTTCATATTTTTCCCATATTCAAACAAAATTTTAAGTTTATTTTCTTTACTTAAAGAATGCTGGCTGAAGAAGCTGAAAAATCTTTGGAGGAAACCCAGAGACGACTAAATCGCAGAGAATCTGAACTTCAATCCCAAGAAGAACGGATTGTCAATCTTGAAGAAAGATTAACAGAAGTAACACGTTCGTATACCATCACTAAAGATGAAACTAATCAACTACGAAATACACTGGGTTCTATGGACAGAGAAAAAGACTCACTTCAAATGACAGTTGATGAAAAAACAGAAAAAATAGCACAGTTAAATAACGAATTACATGATAAGGTAAATACAAGTTATAACTGATTCCCAGGGCAGTTTTATTTCCGTTTGACTCGAGTTGTGTTTGACAATGAAAACTGGCTAGTATTTTGGAATATAAAGAATAGAATTTATTAAGGGACATATGATTATAGCTCAGAATCCACCTGCCCTCCCATATATATGAAAATATGTTAATTACTCAACATCTTTTGGGAAAAGAAACAGTTGTAAATCCAACAACCATTATCTAATCTAAACAGACCATTTTAAACTATGGGACAGTAGGAACCAAGTAGTTTTTGATAATTCTCGAGGAATTTCAACAATTTTCCAAAAAGTAAACTTTAAATACAGAGACTCCTGATAAAACAGCACAACTACATGATACCTGAGTTGTAGTAATAGTTGCCATTCACGAGTCAGTGTGTTCCACTATAACAAAACAAATTCTGAAAACTGTTTGTTGTGATGTAGATGAATATTTTCTGCTGTATTCTGTTCTACAGGTTATATGTAAAGTATATTGTAATTATTTTTACAGGATAGATTCTTGAGTGATCTGAAGATTAGAGTCAGTGAGATAGAAGCCCAGTTAGAGTAAGGAGATTTTTTTTTTAATTTAAAATGACCATTGTCATTGAGTAGTAATTTGTAATTTCAAGAATGAAATAGCATATCTAACATAAAATCAATATCATCCAAAGTCTTCCACATTGAAAACACAAATTATTTTTCAATTTAAATCAACATTAATGTTGTGATCTTACCGGGAAAAGATGGGTTTCTGATATCCAATATTTAAGACAAAATAAACATTTTACGATTGGTACACGAATCATGTACCATAATGCATTTCAGTGCCATTTGTAACAAGGGACTTGAATAACTAGGCTAGACATATTCCACAAGTCATGTCGAACGGTGACGCCGTATTCTTATGTGGAGAACATGTGCAATAAATACTATCAGTGTAGACTGGAATAACTAGATGCTAGGGATTGTCATTTGATTGAAACTTCTGGCATATTTCATCGAACATAACTGATTAGAAATTACAGTAAAAACAGAAACAATTGAATGTAAATCAATTTATATACATTCATAATACATTATTATATGCATTGTGACGCATTTGTCTCAATTTCTAGTTGCCAAATATTAGCGATTTAGCTCCTTTAATGTCTGGTTTTACAATATTATTTTGTATGACTTATATTTGTATTTTTATTACAGACATGCTAATGATAGTTTATATTTGTATTTTTATTACAGACATGCTAATGATAGTTTAAATATGAAAGATCGTGAATTAAAGAGTATGAGACGACAATTAGACAGTACAGGTGAAGATTTAACGGAAACATCACGTAGTAAAGACGTTGCTATCAGAGAAAATCGTAGATTACAAGATGATCTGGGGGTCATGACTAAAGAAAATCAGGTATGTCAAAGATTTTATATGCCAACTTTGAAATTTAAATATATTAGCTCTAAATGAAATGGGGATTGGATAGCCGAATGGTTAGCACCTGTGTGCTGTATCATAAGGTCTGTTATTGAGTCAACTGGCGTTGTTTCGATGACAAGGAGTAGGGTCGCCTCTAGGTCCTCCTGTTTACTTCCACTGCTAAAGACCCCTATGCGCAAATGAATTATTGAAATAAAATTGAACCATATGTTAGTGCCAAAATGACCTAGTTTGTGTCAAGTTGACGTTAGACCCTATTTCTCTTTCCCTAAATGAACTAGAACTAATAGAAGGCAATCAGATTAATCAGAGTTCAATAAGTTTGCCTTGAACAAGTATAAATATCTGTCTAGACATTTAATGAATTATATATACATCCTTTTCACAGAAATTAAATCAAGAATTACAAGATACATTAGAAGATCGGGAGAATCTTAAAATACAAATACAACAATATATATTAGAAGTTAAACGTATTGAAGATATATTAGCTGCTAAGGTGAGTTTGTACGAAGAGAATCTTTAGATTATTCTTTAGCTTACAGGTACAGCACGACAGATCATTCACATGCATCTAAATAGTCTAAAATATGGGGAGCCACGGTGGCTAAGTGTGTAAGACCCTGGCTTGCTAGCCTGGAGGTCGCGTGTTCGATCCATGCATTGGCCTAGAAAGTTCATCAGGATTTTCCGACGTGACTTCCCCTTGTCAGCGATGCAAGATGGAGGGCCTGACAAGGACAGCTGGGATGAAAAATCAAGGTCCTGTGTACACATTGGTGTGCATGTAAAAGATCCCTTGGCAGTTGGAAGAGTATAGTATAGTGTTGCTGCCCGGGCAAAATTTCCCTCATAGCACTCTGTATGGCGTATGCTCATCTTCATTAGCCCAATTCAGAGCAGAACAGTAGGACATTATATCCCATTTCATTTTATTTCAATGTAAAATATGTACTTTTTCAATGTGAAAAATGTTGTTATCAGTATGTTATTAAATACGTCCAAGTATTAAAAAAAATACCCTTTGTGAAGAAAGATGGCAGTATGTAATCAATATAAACCTTTTATTCTGTATACAGGAACAAGAACGATCTGACTTATTAGATCAGTATCGTAAATTATCTATGGAGGCTGAGCAGTATCAAACTACAAGTCATCAACTAGAAAGTGAAGGTTCTAATCTACGTTTAGAGATAATGACTAAAGATTCGGAATTACGTCGTCTACGCGATAAAGTAGATAATATGGAAAGAGAAATACAAGAGGTTTGTTATTTTGATCTCGATATTTCTTTCAAGTGATATTTATTTCATTCATAAATCTTTCATGTAGTCAAGGTGAAGGTTATTCAAGGTTCACACACTCCTTGAAACTCCTTGAAAATTCTGGAAAAATGAAAATGTAATTTCCAGTACTGGAAAATCCTGGAAAAACAAGGTCTGTCAATGAGTCAACAGGCGTGGTTTTGATTCCCCGGTTGTACGTGGTTTCCTCCTACTGCTATTGCAGCTAAAGACCCCTACATGCAAGAGAATTATTGAAATAAAATTGAACCATATGTTAGTCACGAAATGACCTAGTTTGTGTCGAGTGAATGTTAAACCCCATTTCTCTATCTCTCTTTTTATTGGTTTCAACATAATTCAATATTCATGCATTGTAATTTTTTGTTAACAGCATCTACATGCTCAACAAGCGTATGAAATACAAGTTTCAAATCTGACGAGATCCGTAGCCAATCTAGAAGAAAATCTACGTCAGACAGAAGAAGATAAACAGAATTTATTTGCTGATATGACAGCTGTTAGAGAACTATGTAGTAGATTAGAGGGCAGTAAAGAAACACTTCAAAGACAATTAACGGCTTCTAACTTAGATAAAGAACAGGTAAAATTACATACAACATCATATGATATTTCTTGACAATACTTGGTTAGGACTGGTCCAGAAATAGAGGGATTTTTGATCACAACGTTCTAAATTCAGAATCTTCCCCGGTTGTACTTGACAATAGGTAGGGTCCTCTGGTTTTCTCCCACTGCTAAAGACCCCTACGCGCTAGCGAATTATTAAGATAAAATTGAACCATATGTTAGTCCCGAAGTGACCTGATTTGTGTCGAGTGGACGTTAAACCTTAACTCTTTCTCTCTGTTTGTTTCCAAAGATTTTAAAATCTAAATCTAGATACATGAATCCGCAAATATTCCTAGTCATGTTGATTCTTCAGAATCAAAATGGGTCAGTCTTCAGTGAAATTGGTTTGGATTTTTGTTTGTTTGTGAACTGAATCTGGATTTTGATTCTTGGCAATTGCGTTTGATTTTATTATTTTGAGAAAAAAATATTGTTCAAAATATTGTTCAACACTGTTATATATAGGTCCATTACCTGTGATTTATTTAATCTCTGTCTATACTTTATTTGTAATTTCTAGTTACAACAAATGATAGAAGACCTACAACAAGAGGCTGATTTATTAAAAAGTCAACTCGAAGCTGAAAGAAATTCATTAAAAGGTCTAGAAGAGGTTCTACAAAATAATAGAGAAAAAGAATTTGCTTCTCAACTCTCATCTCAGGAAAATAAAGCAGAGAATCAAATGTTGAAAGATCGACTAGCTCTAAATGACAGCAAGATGTAAGTTGAATTCTTCCTAGAAATCTCCGGGTCCTCCGGTTTCCTCCCACTGCTAAAGACCCCTACGGGCAAGCAAATTAATGAAATAAAATTAAACCATATGTTAGTCCCGAAATGACCTAGTTTATGTCGAGAAATATTTTATTTGAAATTTTAGTTCTTCAGTTACAAAAACCCTAATTCAAATTCCTGTTTCTCTTACAAAGATATTTCTGCACTTTTGTAAATTTGACTAAATCTGTCGTATAGTTTCTTTGTCACTAGACAGGTTTCTTCTAAAAAAGATTAAATCTTATAAATTTATTTTCTCATTTGTTTCATTTCAGGCAAAGTCAGAGTAGAGAGGTTGCCTCCCTTAGAACTAGAAATGTTGAGTTAGAGGGTGATGTAGAAAGACTGAGAAGACAGCTGACTAATGAACGTTTCGAAAGGTATTACGACTTTACTTATTTTTAATTAAATGTTACAAACACATTATATGTCAATTCCTACACAACAAGGAGGTCTCTCCATTTCCATACCATCTTTCCTCAAGACAAAGCACATCTTCATTGGCTAAATGAGAGGTCAGATAAGGTTAGGTCAATCTCCTTCAATCTTTTCCTGTAAGAATGACAGCATTTTAGGGGGATTATGGGAGATTAGATAAAGAGCTGACAGTTATCGCTATAATAAGTAAAAAAAATGGATAACGTAAAGAGAATATGCTGAAAATTTTAGTCAAATTGCTTCACTCTGACCCGAGATTATAGCGATTGAATTTTAGGCCTAGCCTCGATCATCATAATAAAGTCACGATTATCTGTTTTGACGTTAAATCATCCATCACAAAATGTATTCAAATCCATTAAATATCGCAGGCTAGGATGGCATCGAGAGTTGATTATGGTCTGGATAAGTTAATTAATGTCTAATTAATAATTTAGATAACATTTCAGGCCTAAAGACAGACCTGCAATAGGCAGATTAACCTCTTGCATAATGTATTTTTAAATAGTAATTTTATATTGAAATTAAAATATTTGAATTTCTTTCTGGATTTTAAATGAATATTTCATTGTTTCAGGGAGAGAGCATCATCAGAATTAAGACGAAGTGGTTTAAATAGAGATCTGAATACTTCCGCTCTATCTCAGGACTATTCTGGTACCATTGGTTCCACACATGTACCACGAGCTTCATCTGTTCCTGTTAGTCATTCTTCTACTACTAATATAAACAGATCATATAGTCCTTCTATAACACGATCTAGATCTAGATCACGTAGTCCAGGAACAACGTCAAGGTATGTAACACAACTTACATAGATTAGATTTTTATATTTTTCAAATCTGGTTGCCATTTGTCAGGGGTAAAATGTCCAGACCTGGTAAGGAAAGTGAGACTAGTCTTTTGAATGAGATGGAAAACCAAGGTCCGCAAGTGTACTCATTGGCACGCACGAAAAAAAACCCCTCTTGATGCACATGTACAAGAACCCCTTTGTGCACATGTAAAAGAATCCCTTTGGGTGTATGTAAAAGAATCCCTTTGTGTGTGTGTGTAAAGAAAACCTTTGTGCACATATAAAAGAGCCTCCTTGTGCACATGCACATGTAAAAGAGCCTCTTTGTGTGCATGTAAAAGAACCCCTTTGTGCACATGTTAAAAGAAACCTTGGTGCACATGTAAAAGAAATCCTTTGTGCGCATGTAAAAGAAAACCTTGGTGTGCATATAAAAGAAGCACTGGGTGTGCATATTATTATTAAGAACCCCTTGGTATCTGTTACTATGGTATATTTGATTTGCTTCAGTTTTCAATACTATTATGGCTGATATAATATAGTTTACATACATGTAACAGTTGTAGCACTGATGAACATACATTATGCAAGAGCTAAATCTGTCTATTGTAGATCTTTCCTTAGGCCTGAATGTTATCTAAACTATTAATTAGACATTAATTTACTTATCCAGATCATAATCAACTCTCGATGCCATCACTAGTCTGCGATATTTACTGGATTGGAATACATTTTTTAAAAAAATAATTAAATGTAAAAATGGATAATCGAGACTTTATCATACCGACTTTAGTAATGATGATTGAGGCTAGGCCTAATATTCAATCGCTAATACCTCAGTTTAGAGTGGAGCAATTTGACTGAAATTTTTAGCATATTCTATTTACGTTATCTATTATTTTCAATTTTATAGCAAGAACTGCCAACTCTTTATCTAATCTCACATAATGCCCCTTTAAAAAATTAAAACAAATTATTTTGTTATTTCAGTAGGTACCAGTCTGTAGAAACATCTTATTACAGTAAAACCAATCGTCGTATTTCACCAGAGAGAAGTTTTACATTAGATGATGATGATCAAACATCGTTGAAAGACGTACTGTGATATTGATCTGCCTATTATTATTATACCATTCCATCTGATCTGTGGGACTGTTCAAAGTTTGGAATATATTTCATAACCGTATTATAACCGTTTCAGCATTTTCACTTATTACGGTAAAATTTATTAACTCTATTTGAGAATATTATCCTTGAATGAATTAAGCAATAAAATTGAAAATAAAGTACCAATAATGTCTGTTGTTTTAACATGACTTAAGATCCTGTAGTATGAATTTCTTTCAATGTCTTTTTTCTTTTTAATTCTAAAAACACATAGCATTTTTCACGAAACAATTTAAACATATAGATCAAAATTTATTTCAATATGACACCAAAGAAATGTGTAGTGTGCCTTTAATTGGACCATATTTTATGCATCATACGAAAGATATTCCAGTACTTTGTTTTTATATATTTATGTTATATCTGTGATAGATACAGTCCTATGATCATGTATTAAGTATTGAATAAAGGTATTCAGGAACTTGACGATCGCAAGAAACCATTATATTTTATTAAAATAATAACCACTATACATATAATCACAATTTATTCGAGATTTGAAACAACATGAATTAGGTGCTCATCTTCATCCAAATATGTACAACATTTATGTAGGTAATTCATATGTAATCCCTTGTTTTTTTTAAATGTTTACAAGTGAGCAGTTTTGTTCGTAGATTTGAAAAAGAGTGTACACTGTAGAGGCATTTATTAAAGTACAAAATATGAACATGTAGTCGAAACAAAAATTAAAAATTGTGACTTCAAATTTCACAATTTCTTTTAAAAATAATTATTGGCATTTTTACTGAACGAAGAATGTGAAGATATTAGCCTACCAAATAAATTAATTCCATTATAAAGTAAAATGATTGTTTCTACCTCTTCAAGTCCCTGCCTTTAATTTTGTCTGGGTTCCGTCCATCTATCACCTTGTTTAACTATTTAATTGGTTTTATTTATTTTTGTACATTATTAGAGAAATTATATTATGTAGTATATTATAAATAAATAAATATATAAATTTGTAAATATATAGAGTATCATATTTATAAACTATTATCTTTTTTCCTTGGGCTATTTTTCTACCTGTATAAGTGTATGTGTTATAATATATATATATGTTACCTATATAAATAGTTGGTTTAACTATAGCACCAAGCTATCATAAGATATTATATACATTAATATAGATACATAAAACTGATATCATTATTTCAACTTTTGTTTTGTATTTAATTAATAATTTGGATTCTCTAAAATACAAGAAATTAATGTGTCATGCTATTCAATGTGTTACGAAATTAATGTGTGATGGATGTTATTGTTTCATGAAATTCAATGTGTTACTAAATCCACGTGTCATAATGCTATTGGGTCATGAAATTGATGCTGCCTGAAGGTAGTGAACGTAAATGCGTAATGAAATTTCTGTCATACCCTACTTTTGTCGAAATTAAGTTACCTGATTGTGACAACATTGTTATATTTGCAGCGACTGTATGTATCATTTATTAAATCATCGTTGATTACTGTATTCTTTTGAGGGGTGTTATATTTGACCAGTGCCTAAGGTGGCATTAATTTCTTGCTCCCATTAAATTCTTGTTTTTAAGAGTACTCTGTTCAATGGAGGTCACATGAAATATTGTATGGCATATTTTACTGGTAGTTAAAAATGAGCATGTTTTTGTATCCAGTTCTATAGAGCCTATATGAGAATATAATATCCTTTCGATTCGTTGCTCTTCGATATTATATTTAATTACAAACTGTATCTTTCAATGGAGCAAAGCAGGGTCTTCGTGTTTGCCTTGGATTAACCTGGGCGCTGTTTCTCGAAATCTTAACTAAAGATGAAATCCAAGTTTTAGTAGATACTTCAATTTTGATTGGCTAAGCACTAAACTCAATCGAATATTATCCAATCAAATTACTAAAATTTGGATTTTATCTTAGTTAGAATTTTGTGAAACGGACCCCAGATGGATAATTTTAAAGGTCAGTCAATTAATTGTAGGTTGAGAAAAAAATAAATATTGTCATATTAGTTGAAAAATATTTCTGGCTAATAAACATATTTTGCACAAAATTGACTGACTTAAATTTAGGATGAGGCGCTAGACCTATTAGGATGATTTTGAACTAATACAAAGCATCCCACTCCCCAAGTCAAGTCTTATTCTATATTACCGACAGTCGAGTCTTATTCTATATTACCGACAGTCGAGTCTTATTCTATATTACCGACAGTCGAGTCTTATTCTATATTACCGACAGTCGAGGGTTAATTACAGATTACAAAATAAATAAATATACTCCTTTCCTAAATATCTACTACCATTTCCTGGTGTGGATTCGATTCCCCATTTTTACGTGACAAGGAGTAGGTTTGCCTGTCCAACCTTGTGGGTTTTCTCTGGTTTCCTCCCACTGCGAATTATTGAAATAAAATTGAGCCATTTCTTAGTCCCGAAATGACCTAGTTTGTAACGAGTGGATGTTTAACTCCATTCCTCTCTCTATATATAGGGGGGGTGGATGGCTGAATGGTTATCACGTGCACGCTGTATCATAAGGCCTGTCATTGAGTCAACTGGCGTGGTTTCGAATCCCTGGTTGTACGTTGAAATAAAAATGAGCTAGTTTGTGTCAAGTGGACGTTAAACCCAATCTCTCTCTCTCTCTCTCCGTAATAGGCAAATTTATGAAACAGTAGTATAGACAGGAACAACATGTCTTCCACCAATACTGTATTAGAATGTATTAGAATGTGTCAAGATAATAAAGTTGTAGATCTAACGTAGAACAGGTATTGCCATTTTGTGTTATCTGGGTTATTAATTAATTTCCTTCGAAGATGTGGAATTAAACTTGTGAAGAGGGCTGATTTTGAACCTTCTGTGCAAACAGTGGTAATATTTACTGTAGATCAGTTGGGGTTCTGTGTCCAGTGACAGGCTGTATTTTATATGCTTAAAGTATGTTTTAAGTAGAAAGCAATAAAGGGCGATGTAGACCCTAGTTACAACAATTTGTGACTTCTTCAAATGCTGGGGATCACGTGGCTAAGTGGCTAAGACGCTGGCTCGCTAGCCTGGAGGTCCGGTGTTCGATCCCTGCATTGGCCGAGAAAGTTCATCCAGATTTTCCGGCGTGGTTCCCCCTTGTCAGTGATGCAGGACGGATTGCCTGACAAGGACATCTGTCTAATCCTTCGGATGAGACGAAAAACCGAGGTTCTGTGTATACATTGGAATGCACGTAAAAGATCCCTTGGCAGTTGGAATTCGATATAAGAGTAGGCGATAGTGCCCCTGCCCGGGCAAAATTTCCCTCATAGCACACTGTATGGCGTATGTCCGTCTTCATTAGCCCAGTTTAGGAGCAGAACAGTAGGACGTTAAACCCCATTTCATTTCATTTTCATTTCATTTTATTCAAATGCTTACAATTGTAAAATTGAGTCAAAGCTTATTTTGGTTCCCTGAAATTTAAATTTCCATTTTAAATCTGGATTGTGTTTCGAATTTGTTTCCACATTGACGCTTTACATGTTTAGCATGAACATTGGACAAATTTAGAAATGTGACATTTCTACCCGGCAACCATCATTATATATATGAACCGTTTCATTCCCATATTTGGGGTTTCTAAACTGCATATCTTTGAACCATTTCAAGAAAAGTTTTGTTATTATAAAATAGAATCTAGATCAACAGTATATAATTATTAATTGGCTCAACTGTAAAAAAAAAAAAAAAAATCTCCAAATCTTGCACTTGTCTTCAAATAAATCAGGGGGATTGGATGGCCGAATGGTTAGCATGTGCGCGCTGTATCATAAGGCCTGTCATTGAGTCAACTGGCGTGGTTTCGAATCCCCGGTTATACGTGACAAGGAGTAGGGTCGCCTGTCCAACCTCGTGGGTTTTCTCCGGGTCCTCCAGTTTCCTCCCACTGCTAAAGACCCCGACGCACAAGCGAATTATTGAAATAAAATTAAACCATATGTAAGTCCCGAAATGACCTAGTTTGTGTCGAGTGGACGTTAAACCCCATTTCTCTCTCTCTCTCTCAAATAAATCAACAAAGATCCGAATCTGGTGCTCAGTCACCAAAATGAGCATGGAGTGGCGACACCAAACGACTTCATAACGATAGTTGCCGGGTAGAAATGTCACATTTCTGAATTTGTTCGATGTTCATGCTAAACATTTAAAGCATCAATGAAGACATTTTTCTTTATGATAGAAATAAGATGAAATAGAATTAAAATTTATGCTGAAAAAATAAAGAAATTGTCTTAATTTAAAAATTACACGAATAGAAGTTAGAAAATAGATGATAGCACGACATTAACATATTTAGAATTTTGCATCTAATATACTGACATTGGTCAAGCATGTTCTTTTCATATATTTTAGTGCATCAAAACTGTGTTAAAAATAGTTATCTCCCTTTAAACATATAAAGGAAATATTAATTAGGTAAACTAACTTGTTAATTTTGTCACAAATGAGCGTGTGGCTTTTAAAGGGCCAATCTCGGTTATATTTTGGAGAATAAAACTGCTTAATTTTGTGTTAAAAGCCCCTAAAATCCTCTACCTTAGGGCCGAGCAACTAACTTAATTTACATGATAGACCTCTAAAGGAATGGCAATAGATTATCAGGTCACCCAATGGAAAAATTCACCGGAAATCTCAAAAGGGTTACCTGTCCAGGTAAGCGGTTCTGACGTCCACGTCCAAACAATTCAATATTTTGAGATGAAATTTTGTGACAAGATAAATACACCATTCCTCTATATTTTGGTGTTTAAATTTCATACGTACACGAACACACGGACTTTTATTTTTGTTAAAATCGGGATGGTCCCTTTAACGTCTGTGTTTATTAGTCAGTGTTAGTTTTCATGCCAGCCGAATAATCAGTTAGATCATTCGTTGGCTAAAGTGGGCGTTCCAATAACAAGTAATGACTAGACCTGGATAAAAAAAATCTAGATAGGTTCTAGTGAATTCCCAATCGACTAGTTTCATGTATATTCATACATTCTCAACCTTGGATGTTGGTATCAGGTATCGGCCGAATGGCTAGACAGATTTTTCATTGTCAGGCCAATATAGTAGCCGAATGACAACCGTGTATAAAAAAATAATCTACAATTATAATAGCTCATTGGACTAAGAACCATTCATACCGAGGGTGTTGGATGGCCGAATGGTTAGCACGTGCGCGTTGTATCATAAGGTCTGTCATTGTGTCGCCTGGCCAACCTCGTGGTCTTTCTCCTGGTCCTCCGGTTTCCTCCCACTGCTAAAGACCCCTACACGCAAGCGAATTATTGAAATAAAATTGAACCATAATTATGTTAGTCCCGAACTGACCTAGTTTGTGTCGAGTTGACGTTAAACTCTCCCTCTCTCTCCCTCTCTCTCTCTCTCTCTCTCATCATTCATACCTCGATAAACCAAAAGAAGATAAATCCCCATTTTAAGAACATTAGTTTAAATAATGTTAACTTCAAAGCCTGAAAAAATAGGATTGATTTAATGAAATCGGTATCAGGACTTCTCTTATTTAATCATTTAAGAAAAGTAAGGTGGAGAGATTTGACCCAGTTTGGGAAACACAAGCCATGGGAATTTACTTCTGTTCCAGAAATTGGCTTATATTTGTAAATATGATCTTAGTTTTTCTTTAGTCAAATCTTTGTTAGGTGTTGTTTTTATCTGGTACAGACGTCAATGGCTAATTATAAAATATTTCACAAACTAAAACACACTGGGTAGTAAATATTAAATGGACTGGAATGCTAACTAAAGCCCACGACACACTGTATGATTTTTCGGTGTGATCACTGTAAGCCATTTTTAGAAGTTTGGGTAATCTAACCTAAGCTGGAAATTTACAAATTGAGTTATATTATTATTATAAATAACCTCAATGATCTTATTGAGGAATAAAAACAAGTTCTAAGAGCCAGGAATCGAGTATGACGTCATTGCAGCGATATTGGAATTGTGACGTCATATGAAAAAGAAGGTGCGGAGAGGTCCAAGGAACAGGCAGGCCAAGTTTCATCTAGAGCGTACTGGAATTGGCTGTGTTTTAGCCTGTTTTCGAAGGGCGTCAGTACAACAACAGCAACAAGATGAGGCTGAGTTTCTGTTCCAAATAATAATAATAATAATAATAATGGGCATTTATAGCGAGCCAACATTCAGCTAGATTAGCTGCTCTGATACACTGTTACAATATTCATAATAGCCGGGGAAAAAAAGAAAAATAAATAATATCACATTGGAATAAAGTTTAAATATCACACTGGGGAATGACGAAAGCTAGTCTTTTTGAAAGAGTTTATGTTGTTTGCATTTTACAGTTCAAGTGGAAGCTCAGTCCATAATGTCGGAGCAGCCACTTTGAAGCTTCGGAGACCAAGATTACTTTTTACTTTTAGTACAACTAATAGGTTCTGGTTCTCTGAGCGAAGGCTTCTGGTTGGTTGGTATTGTTGTAACTGTGTGGATATGTATTCAGGGAATTCAGTAGAGTAGAAGGAACAGTATGTGGGACATCAAATTTTGAATTTAATGCGATATTCTAAGGCCAACCAGTGCAGTTCTTTGAGTACAGGTGTAATACCAGTATACGGTTTTGATCTGGAAACAATTATTGCTGTTTTATGCTGAATAAGTTTCAATGATTGAAGAGGTTTTGCCGGAAGATTGATCAGAAGTGAGTTACAGTAATTTAATTTTGAGGTGATCAGTGCATTTTGGTTAATACAGATAGTTTGTCAAATTATAATTCGATCTCTATTCCCCCGTCCCCATTATCTTTGTTTTCTAATAAAAAAGGAGAAATAAAAATAATACGTTTCAAACATCAACATTCAGCCAGGGACACCGGAATGTCCAAGGTACTCTGGCAAAAACGGGCAGGGGTATTTCCCGTCGTGTTTGAGGAGGTTTCGGCGTCCTCCACCGAGAAATTCTTTGACATTCTGTTGCAGATACGATTAAAAAATATTTATTTTGACCGGTTACCACGGTTACCACCAACTCGGATCATCATTTACAAACAAGAACCGCTTTGGTGCAGTTTAACGTATATTAATATACCGAACAATACTTTGGATTTAGGTTTCATCTTAACGATTGAACCGTTGAACCATTTTAACGATTGAACCGTTGAACCATCGTAACAATTGAACCGTTGAACCATCTTAACGATTGAACCGTTGAACCATCTTAACGATTGAACCGTTGAACCATCTGAACGATTAAACCGTTGAACCATCTTAACAATTGAACCGTTGAACCATCTTAACAACTGAACCGTTGAACCATTTTAACGACTGAACCGTTGAACCATCTTAAATATTGAACCGTTGAACCATCTCAGCCCTGAATGCTTAAAAAGATATAGTGCCGAAATACATTTTAAAGGACAGCCTGCAAAACTGTAGGGGCAGTTTGGCCATTGCCCCGTGCTTTTGAGGAAAATAGGACATTTGCACCCATTGGTACCGCGCATCCGGCGCCCGTGCATTCTACACGTTATCATGGATTTAAATGTGAATGAAAATCGGTGGCATCTTCTCAACCTCGTGGGTATACCCCCCCACCACACATACACATGGAAGACAGAGAGAGAAATGGGGTTTAACCCCCACTCAACACAAACTAGGTCATTTTGAGACACACATGGTTCTTTTATTTCCATAATTCATTCTCTTCCGCGTAAGGGTCTTTAGCAGTTGGAGGAAACCGGAGGACCCGGAGGAAACCCCCGAGGTTTTACAGGCGACCCTACTCCTTGTCACGTACGACCAGGGAATCGAAACCCCATCAGTTGACTCAATGACAGACCGTATGATACAGCGCGCACGTTCTAACCATTCGGCCATCCAACCCCCCAACAAAGGAAAGACCCCCTGCGCGTGCGCTAAGACTATATAAAACAAGACAACTTGTCTGCGATATCACTATCGGTGGAAGGGGACGTTAAACACTAATATTAAGAAGAATTGGATTTTTGTACCATTAGAAACAATGTGATACCCTTTCTGACCAGTCTCTTTATTAAAATGTTTTTTTTTACTCGAACCTGGAGCTTAAAATATAACAAAAAGTGAGTTAAGATTTGTTGATATAATGTAAAACATTCAAACTATTTAACTTATTAACAAGCTAAATAAATCAAATAATTATTAATACACCCCTTTCACCCCTACTCATTAAATTCATTAGGTTAATAACGTGGGTGGTAATCAGACTAAATAGACTATGTACCAACCACATACGATCTATAGTAAACTACAGCACAACTACAGCTATGTTTGTTGACGGTTT